GTCGCCCCGCAGGGGTCCCCTGCAGCACCCTCACCTCCCTGCACTGCAAGTAACAGAGCGTAATTGTGTATAAAAAGGACGGGAACAGCAAGCAGGCTTTCACAGGGAGGAACCAGCAAGTCCCCGCGGCCTCCACTCCGGGGCCGCGCCACCGCGGCGTCCAGCGCCGTTTGCGGCGGGGTGAGCCGAGGGCCTTCCACACCCACTGTCACGACTCCCGTCTGCACTTCCGCTTTTTGCGGCAATAAAACCCTTATAACTAAATGACAGTGCAAATGACAGCACAGCAGCACCCTAACGGTCTCGGCGCTCACCCAGAGGTGCGTTCCTCCAGCTCTGCCTCCCATAAAAAACTAACGGTCCATAAAGCGTGCGGTTAGGTTGAGCTATACCCAGAGCAGACGTGGAAGGTTTTAAGCCAGACTCGGCGGTGGGCGCAGCGTGTGCCTGATGAGCGCGTGTGGAGTGTGCAGCGCGCCGGAGGCGGCCGTCCGGCCCCGGATTCCAGGGTGCGCGTTGGGGAGAGGAGAGCGTTGTGCTGTAACGTGGTTATTGTAACGTGGGTGCGGCAGCCTGATGCCCATCCTGCGCTTCTTTTTAAAAAGTTTTTTTTTTAATTTATTGACAGAGAGAGAGAGAAACATCGCCTTGTTGTTCTACTTACTGATGCATTCATGGTTATTCCCGCACATGCCCAGACCGGGGAGTCGAACCTGGTGTTACCTTTATTTCGTCCTGCGCTTCTTAGTGAAGGGTTTGATTCTGCTCCCACGGGTCCTGAGTGTGCCGTGTCTCCCCAGAGACAGAGGGACTTTCCCGAGTGCTGGACAGCGGCCCTCCCTGGGCTGGGAGGCTGCCCCGGGGCTCGGCAGCGGAGTTCCGGTGAGCTCTGCGTAGGCACGCTGCCGCAGTGATTTGTGCTGCTCACGGAGTCTTCCTGCAGACCGGTTAGCGGCGCTCTGCAGGGCAGGGTCGGACTTCTGTGGGGCTTCCCGGCCTCCTCCGCCCCCGGGAAGGCTGTGCCTCCGGCCGCTCAGGACACTGGCCGTCTGGGTCTCCAGCAGCCCCTGCTCCTGGGCACGGACCCACCTAGCAGCCCAACAAGAACTCTGTATCCATTTGCAGCTCACATTCTGCCCTACTAACGTTCATGCTGCTTGGCAATTACTGCTGATCTACACTGCTGATCCAGACTCACCGTGGGCCCCGTCCTCGCACGGACCAGAGGGTTGGGAGGTTAACCCGACAAAGCCAGTCCGTCACCGGGTCCTGCATTCCTCGTTTTGCGGCCAGTCCTATTATGCTCAGCGCCGGAGGAGATTCGAAACTTGGAGGACGGGCCCTGGCCGGGTGGCTCGGCTGGTTGGAGCGTCGTCCTGCAGCCAGAAGATTACGGGTTCGATTCCTGATCCGGGCACTTGCCTGGGTTGCTGGCTCAGCCCCTGGTCTAGGCACGTGCGATCCCCAGTCCAGGCGCCCGTGACCCCCGGTCCGGGCGCGGACGAGAGGAACCACTCGGTGCCTCTCTCTCACGTCGATGACGTTTCCGTCTCCCTTCCTGTCTCTCACAAGCACCGAAACGGTGTCCTCGGTAAGGATGAGGAAAGGGTGAAGGACAGGGAAGGGCAGCCAGTGGGCATCTAACGCCCCAGACCAGTGGCCGTAGGGAAGGTACAGTTCGGGGTCACGGAACTCCCCCGGCGTTGCGGGCCAGGACACCCAGCCCAGAGAGGGCCCGCGCCCTGGGGGGGGGGGCTGTGAAGTGACGCAGCTGTGACTGCCGCCCCCCGGTCCGTGCGTGTAGGCCCCTCGTCCTGCCCAGAGCCTCTCCACCGGGGGACGCGCGCCCGCTGGGGCCGAGGGCAGGGGGGGTGGGGAGCCGGCAGCGCTCTCACGAGACGGGCCCAGGGTTGGCTCTCAGGCGCCGAGGAGGGAAGGCTGGCCTGCGGCTCGTGTGCCTTGGGTTCCACACAAGTTCGGTCCGCGGGTGGTCGTGTCGCCGGTGGGTCCTCACCCAAGGCCGTCGTCCACCGACCGGAGCCTGGGGCAGCCTCGCCGCTGGTCCCCGAGTGAGCGGGTCCCAGTGGGGCACGGCAGCGCCGGCCCGCCGCCGGGGACCGACAGACGCCAGGCTGCCTGCGCCGAGGGGACCGCTCGCTCTCGTCCGTCGCCCCCACAGTCTGTGCCGCAGATGGCACGGGAGGGTCTTCGGGTTCTCTCCGCGTGGGGTGGTTCTGTCCCCGCGGTCGTCTGACTGTACTGGCTCCTGGTTCCCTGCGGCTGTCTCCTTGTTGCGTCACAGTGCAGACTGCACTCGTGCCTGCTGCACGAGGTGTTTGCAGGGCGGGTTTCAGTCGGTGGTGATAACATTCACGCTGGGCGCATCGTTGGACTCGGCCCAGACCCTCTGAGACACCTGCCTGGGCTCACCCGGGTGGGGCCCAGATGCGGAAATGGCTTGTTTCCGCTTCCCGAAGTGCTGAGTGGCTTGGGAGTGCGGCTTTTGGGGGACTTGTGCGGAGTAACATGTACAGCAAAGTGCCTGATGTCCCATTTTTTAACAAGTTTCACAGCAGATGACATCATAGAATTAAATATGTCTTGTACAGATTGGGAGTGGTGGGTAGGGACATTCTTCCCCCGTCATGTAGTTCAGTTAGTATTGAACTAAGACCCCGCCATTCGACTCCGGAACTTGGAATTTCAAACTTGCACTTGTAGTGTGAGTGTGACACAGTGACTGCAGGCTGCTCTGGAGACACCTGGTAGTTCCCATCCGTGGTGTCCTGTATGAGGTGGCTCCCTCGTGAGGCGACGCACACTCATTCCAGTGACCCAGTGGTTGTTGAATCGCCCCCTCGTGTGCCGTCCTTCCCGTCCTCTTCTCCCCAGCGGACGGACAGGACAGAAGGGATGAAGCAGAGGAAGGGACGAGTTGAATCTCTTCACGGGCACGGCCCAGGTGGCCGGTGAGTGAGGCGTACTCACCTCCGTCCATCTGGGTGAATCATGTCATCGCCACGGCTGACTCTGAGTAGCCCCTGGCAGAACTCAGATACCACGGGGCATTCGTTCTCTCTGCTCAGCAAATGTTTACCGAGTGCTCCCCGTGTGCCAGATGCTGCTGGCCTCGGGGTTCTCGCAGAGAGAGACGGAGCTCCTGCTGAGATGATGTACTAACGCGCCGGGGAGGAGTTCCACGAACTTTCCGGGAAGATCAGAATTGTTTGACCCCGACCCTGACCTTTACACGCGTGTAAACGAGCTCGGGGGCGCGCGGAGCGGTGAAGCGGTGGGCCAGGAAGTGCCGCGTGTTCGCCGTCGCCCGCGGGTCGGGCGCTGCTGCTGGGGCGTGCGTGCGTGTGGCTGGGGCTCCAGGCCTGGCTGTGCCTCTGGCCAGCCCCGGAGCCCTGGGAACCGGACAGCGGCCCCCGCCCCAGCCGGTGCCGGCGGCACCAGCGTCTCTGTGCGCGGGGTGGTCCGCAGTCTGTGTGTGACGGCCACACTGGGAGCAGCTGGGCGGGCCACACCGCGTCTGCACCCCGGGGTGTTGGGCGGCCGGGCGCCTCTGGGGGCGGCTTCCATGAGTGTCGTTCCGTGCGAGGGTCGGGAGGCGGGGGTGGCTGCGGGTCGCGACCCCGGGTTTATAAACCGGATAGTGACCCGCCCCCACTCTTCCGAGCGGCCACTTGGGTGCCGCCCACGTGTGGAGACTCAGAGCACCTCCTCCCTCAGCCGGGCCACGCTCTCCCCTGTCCTTGGGCTCAAGTCACCCGTCGCCCACAGGAGAGGGCGGGACCGTCGCCTCACTTCATGGGGTGCGGACCGTCCACCGGAACAGGGCGGGGTCCCCCACCCTTGGCTTCCGGCCAGCGAGCTGGAAGTTCACAGCAGTTCTGGGGACGCAATTCTGTCATGTTGTGAAGTCACAGATGCTGACGCGTGCCAACAGGACCCGCACCCGGCAGATCGCAGGTGCGTGCTGGTGCCGTGTCGGCAGCCTCCGTGCCCCCGTGCCCGGAACCCGGGTGGAACTCGGGCTGTGGCCCCGGGCTGGTGACTTCTGGGTGCCCTCACCCAGAACGGCCCAGGTGGGCTGTTCACCTGGGACGGGACGGGCGCCAGGCCTCAGCCCGACGGCGAGGCCCCGAGGGCTCCCTCCCGCTCGGCACTCCGGGAAGGGCAGTGGTCCGGCGGGCAGTGTCCGTGCCCGTCCCGCGGCTGGTCACCACGGCCGCTGTGTGTTCTGCAGCCGTGGGTGCTGTGCTCCGCGGACGCGTGGGGGCGGTTCCCGAGGCGGAGAGGGAGAAGCGGCTTCTGCCTGTGGTCCGGGTGACGAGGCCAGAGCATCGCCTACCGGGGGGCCGTGGGGGCCTCAGACGTTCAGCAGGGAGCTCCCCGGGTGTTCGCGGGGTGCTGGCTTCACAACACGGCCGTGCCGCCTCTCTGCCCTGAGGGTTCGGGGTGCCCGCGTCGGACAGGGAGCTTCCTGGGGAAGCGCGGCCACAGTCAGGGTGCAGCTTGGATTTCAGGGCGTCCGAGGGGACCCCTTTCTCCTGCGGAGCAGGGGTCATCGAGCTGGTTGGTGCCCAGCACCCGGGAGGGGGGGATGCTTGAGTTGTGAGGACCTGTGTGCTGTGTGAGTGAGGCGTGGGGACCCGTGTGCCGTGTGAGTGAGGCGTGGGGACCCGTGTGCCGTGCGAGTGAGGCGTGGGGACCCGTGTGCCGCGTGAGTGAGGCATGAGGGCTGGTGTGCCACACGAGTGAGCTGGTGTGACTGCGGGTGGGGGGTGGCATCACACTCAAACCCTTCAGGGCCTGTCATGGGGGCGCCTCCTTCTCTCTCCCCCCCCAAACCGTGGACAGCAGTGACACGCCGCAGCTCGCCTGTGAAGGTGGGCGTCAGACTGCTGGGCAGTGCGTCTTCGCGGGTCTGGAAGCGTCCCCCGTTCACCTGGGTGACAGTGACCGACGGTGACGGGTGTTCCTTGTTCCTCCAGGCTCCGTCTATGAACCCCTGAAGAGCATCCACCTCCCGAGGCCCGACACCGGGACCCTGTGGGACCGGCTGGACCGCTACTACGGCATCGGTGAGCAGGCCGGCGGCCCGCCCGGGGCTCCTCGCTGCGCCCGGCGTGCGGCACACGCATCGCGTGGGGCGTTGTCGTCCTCTTGCTGGGACGCTGCGGGCGTTCCGTGCCCGGGCGGCCCTGTGTGCCCACGGCATGTTGGCGCCGGGCCTGGCGGGATGCGACGCGTCATGGCCACCGCTCAGTAAGCTCACCGCTGTCGCCACCGTCTTCCGTGTGCGTGCGGCCGTCCGGAGCGTCCCCGGGGGCGGGAACCCGGGGCTGTCCCGCGGGCACTGCGGGAGCGCTCGGGCCGTCTGCCGGCCCGCGGTTCCCTGTCGCCCCCGACCTCACGTCCCTTTCCAGTTCACGGGGACCCAGGAGGACTCTCAGGGACTGTGTCCCATACGAGGTCCCTGTTTCCTCGTTGTTGGGTTTTGCCGGCATCGGCCCGGAAAGCTGCGTCTTCTCTGCGGGCGCGCGGCTCTGCTGGTCAGCCCGCCGGGCGGGGGGGCCTGCTGGGTGTTTGTCGGTCTGCTCCCTGTGCCGTGTTCCCGGTGCAGACGGCAGGACACGAAATCTGATTTCCGTGCCCCCCCCAAGGCAAGGGGTTTTCGTTTGTTTGCTGCACCTTCACGTAAAGCCTTAATTCCTCTGGTCAAGGTGCTGGTGGGAGTTTCAGGTGGCCCCTTTGCCGCCTTTGTGGCCACCCCGGAGGGCTCGGCCGGAGCGACTGCACTCGAGGAGGCCGTTTCTGCCCCTGCGCTGAGAGCCGCGGGGCCGTCGGAAGGGGCCGAGGCCGCGGGAGCCCGGGACGGGACGTGGGGGGGCTGGGGGGGCGCGGTTCACGCTCTCTCTCGCCTTCCGCTGCAGTCAAGTCCACGCTGCTGCGCTACCAGAGCCCGACCACGGGCCTCTTCCCCACGAAGACATGCGGCGACGACCAGAAGGCCAAGGTGCACGACAGCCTGTACTGCGCCGCGGCGGCCTGGGCGCTGGCGCTGGCGTACAGGTGAGGCGCTCTGCGTGCCGTGTGACTGGGCGCCCCCCCCCCCAGGCCTCTCGTCCCCCTGCGGGTCACACGAGACCGGGTGTAACGGGTGACCCGGATTTCTCATCTCGGCGAGGGGACAGCCGCCCCCACCGGGTCAGGGGCGTCCGTCAGAGGGAGGGGGTGGGGACTGGGCCTTGCAGAGGGTGGCAGCTTCGCTCAGAACCGCACAGCCGTTACGGCGGAGCCGGGCAGGCCGATCCCCGCCCCCCGCCCCCCCACCCCAGTGTCTCTCTCTCTGCGCTTCCCCGGGGGTCGCTGGTTAAACCTGGTTGAACGTGGAATCGTCCTGTGAAGGAGAACAAATCCTCGTACAGTCGAGAGTTTCTCTTCACTGATTTCGTTACCCGCCGAAGCACCCAGCGCGGCCGGGCCCTGGCCCGTCGTCGGTGGTGGGTGGCCCGTTTCAGCCGCCACCGTCGCCCGGTGAGGTGTCCGAGGGCCCGTCTTCCCAGGGGGACCTGCGCCGGTGCCTCTGACGTGGAGATTGTATCTCCCACGTGAACACGATTCCTTGGTCTGAAATCCCCGACCTGTTGCGTTTGTGAAGGGAAAGCGAATGGCGAGATGGCCTGGAGCACACTTGTCCCAGGTGTCACTGCCAGCAGTTCTCCCCGCGGCCCGAGGGAGCGCGGGGTGACGGTCAGGCTGCCCCTGGGCCTGGGTGCACCGGGCGCCGCGGCCCCTCACCCCGGGCTCAGGACCGAGAGGAGCGTGGCAGCCGCTCGCAGCGCACGGCTCCTCGCTGCGCGTGACCAAGGGCGTGGGTTGGAAAGAGCACTGTGAAGTGTGTGTTGGGGGTAACTGGGTGAACTTGACCCAGAGCGTGCATTAGATAGTACGGCGTCCGCAGCACGCCCCTGGGTGTGACCGTGGTGGTGGGTTCAGCAGCAGAATGCTCTTGTCCTTGAGAGACACTTCTTTACTGTGTGGGGCTGACGCTGCTGGCAGTTTTCTTTCAAATAGCACAGAAAATAAATGAATAGAAAGAGAATGCAAGCTGGTTTTCACAACTGGTAAGTCCAGGTGAAAAGTAAAAGTTTTATTCATTATAGTTCCTTTTAGCTTTTCTATAGATTTGAAAGTTTTCTAAAGGAAATGTGGGAAAATTGCTTAAAAATACAAGAAAATAGAATTTTCCCATGAGAATTTACACATCTGATACATAGATCACATTAACAAACAAAAAAAGGATAAAAAACATATGGTCTCAGTAGATTCAGAAGAGGCATTTGACGAAACCCAACATTCTTTTTATAATAAAAACGCTTGGAAAAGCGGGAACCGAAGGGGCACATCTCAGCGTAACAAAGGCCACAGGTCACACGGCCACGGCCAACATCAGCCTCAGCGCCGAGAAGCTGGCAGCCTCCCCTCTGAGGTCAGGACCGGGACGAGGGGACCACCGTCACCACCTGTGTCCCACACAGCGCTGGACGTCCTCGCCGCAGCGGTCGGATGGGGGAGAGGAGCAGAAGACGTCAGGTCGGAAAGGAAGAGGCGAAACTCTTACTATTTGCAGAGGACGTGATGCTGCGGAAAGAGCACCCTAAGGACCCTGCCGAACAACTGTCAGAGTGAACACATGACGTCGGTGCAGTCGGAGGGAGCGGGACCGACAGACACCCAGGGATCGGCTGCGTTTCCACGCGCCAGTGACAGACGGTCGGAAGAGGGAATTAGGGAAACGACCCCATTCACAGTGGCGTCGAACAGCGTAAACTACCTGGGAATAAACGTAACCCAAGAGGAGGTGCCATGCGGCAGTGGCCGAGGAAGAAAGGTGGTGCCCTCCCGTGAGACGCCCGTCTGTCCCCTCGGCGTCACAGCCATCGCTGGCCGAGGAGTTGAGTGCGTGACCCTTGTGGGAGCCGGTGAAGAGCGACGTCACCAGCTGCCACTCGGACGCCACCAGACACACTCGAAGTGTGCCTGCAGCGATGCGCCAGGGACAGGATTCGAGTGTCTGCCCTGCTCCCTGGTGATACATTTGTTAGTAGGGAATTCCGGTTTAGATGTAGAATCAAGACTTCATGTCATAGAGATATCCGATCAATACTTGCGTAAAACCTGTGATCTATAGATTGACTAGAATTAAACTTAAAGTGGTTTCATTTATTTCTTCAAATTAAAGCTATTCTTCAGCTCATATTAAAACTTGAATTTGCATACAGATAGCTTGCTAAAAAAAGCTGGCTTGTCAGTCCTGGTGGAAACTAGAGGAATTGTTTTGCTTCACTAGATTTATAAATAACGTCTGACGCCCAGACGCTTCTACTCACGTGCGGCTGCCCCCTCGTCCCCTCCCGCGGAGGAGAGTGTCGCAGGCGTCCCAGCATTTGCAGGACCAGCAGGACCGCGCCATTCAAACAGAGTCTTCATCGTGGCTGAACTCTGCCGGAGTATTTCCATCCTGGTTTAGTGCTTGTTGAAATCAGAGGCAGAGGGTTATCTCAAAGACAGTTCCAGAAGCCCTCCGTTTTATTTTGCTCTGAACTGTGATTGTGTTTTGGATGAGGCGGGATGGGTGCGCAGCCCACTGCGTGGGGCTCACTCGTCCCCAGCTGCACTGCCGCCCCCGCTCTCCTTGGCCTCCGGGGGACCCCTCGTGTCTGCCACGGGGGTGAGGTGGAGCTGCCCCGCCCACGGAGGAAAGCAGGGGTGCCGTGCCCACGGCGGGCGGCCTGCCTTCTCACCGGCCCTCACCACGCTGTGGCCCCCAGTCTCCCCAGCGGGGGTGATGAGGTCCCACCGGCCCACTGGTTGAGGAGACGGGGGACACTCTTTGTCACGTGGGGATGGTCGCCAGACGTCCTAGGTCAGAGTCAGTGAGACGAGGAGCGAGCTGCTGTTACTTTTCAGCCCCGGGGCCTCTCGTCTGTGGTGGGGGCAGAGGAACCCCTCGGCCCCAGCCAGTAGTTGAGTGTTGGCTGCCCTTTCTTCTCAAAGACCAGCGATGTGGACTGTGCTCAGTCGACTTTAAACGGAGACCTGAGAATGTGCAGCTTCCCGCCCACACCTGCCGTGTGTCACCCGGGATGTGTGTTTGGTCGCAGGTGTGGTGGCTGCAGTGCTCACCTTCCATCGGTCATCGATGAACTAATAGTGAGTGGGGGGGGGCGAGAAGGCCGTGCTCCCCTTATGCTGCTCCTCCTCCGCTCCAAGAGGCCACTGCGTAGCCTGAAGGGATTCTTATTAAAAATTGCCTCTGCCCTGCAACAGCGAGTTTAAAAAACTCTTTTGATAGACTTTTCCAATATAGAAATCTCCTTTAAAACTTCAGCCGAGTCAGCGCGGAAAATATCGTGTGCTATTTTCGGAGCGGCTGGCCTACTTCCCCCGGAGAAGGAGAAATCTCCACGAGTTCCATCGTGGGGTCCTTTTTCTCTTTCTGCGGCAACTCTGCGCCCGCTGGGAAAAGGGGAGTTTCACTGTGATGCCGCCAGAGCCTGGGATTAGCCGGACAGTGAAACACTTCATTATCGGGAGCTCTGCTCCTTCCTCTGCCCGCTCCCGTGACGCGCTATCTCGCTCCGCAGGCGCCTGGACGACGACCAGGGGCGGACCCACGAGCTGGAGCACTCGGCCGTCAAGTGCATGCGCGGCGTCCTCTACTGCTACATGCGCCAGGCGGACAAGGTGAGAGCCGTGCGCGCGCGCGCGCGCGTGTGGGCGGGGCCCCGCGTCGTCCTGCGGGCTCGCTCCCGCAGGGCAGCTTTCCGGAAGGAACTGCATCCGGGGCGGTCGGGGAGGTCCTCCCCCAACCCCCGCCCTCCCAGCGTTTCCGGCTTTAAAGTGCCGAGACCGCAGAAAGGCCAGCGCGCCAGCCGGCCGCGGACTGTTGTCCGGGCTGCGGTTCCCGTGTGTTTGGCTTCTGGCCTTTGCCCGGTGCAGACGCGGTCTCTGGGGACCTCGCGGCGCCCACAGCTCCGCCCCGCGTTGTGCGGCCCGGGAACGGCCCCATCACGGCGCCCTCCGCACACACGGGCACGCCCCGGCGGAGGCGGACGCCGGCGGCAGAGCGCAGCGCTTCGTCTGCGCGACGGGCGGGCGGGCGCCGCGGACTTGGAGGACGGCGGGCCGCTCGGGGTCCTTGTGGAGACCAGCGAAACTCGGCGAACCGCGGAGCGCCACGCAGTAAAATGAGCCGTGGCCCTGCGTACCGACCTCCGCGCGTCCCCAGGTCCTGACAGCACGTGCCCGCAGTCGTGACGCGTGTGTCGTGCGTCCCCAGGCCACCTCGGCCAGGGCGGTGGTGCGCCAGCGGAGACGCGAGCGGGCGGGCGATCCTGCCGGCAGTTTTGATTGTGTGGCATTCCTATGTTTTTATCACGTGCTGATTTATGCTTGGAAAGGGCAGCAAACGGGACGGCCCACTTGCTTCTTACGCCCATATCTGAAGTTAAAGCTTAGAAAGAAAGTCATCTCCATCCTGCCGCCAAAACGCGGCAGCCAGAAGCTGCCACTCGGCAGCGGTGGCCGTATCCGCCAGCTGACCCCGGAGCTGCTGACGGACCTGTGAGTTGCCCGCCGGGAGCCGGCTCTGCAGACCGTCGTCGTGAAGGTGTGTCAACGCGCTCCGGTTACACTCGTGTGTCACACACATGGAGCGACCGCGGCCGAAGCCCCCGCTCCGTGTGCGCAGCGTGCTGTCCGGCGCCGTCGCAGACGTGCTCTGCGCTCCCGTGTGGGGCGGTTCGGGGGCCACTGGCCACGGGTGGTGCTGAGCACTCGGAGTGCGACCAGCGTGACTGCGGGCCGAACCTCCAGAGTTTACTCAGCTGTGATTTAATCGGCCCCCTGCAGCTGGTGGCTGCCCTGCCGGATCACGCAGCTTCTAGAAGCTTCTAAAACTGCAGTGGGCACAGGCACTAATGAAAACAACGGCCAGCAGAAACCGTAGAGGGGCCAGCGACCCCGATGAGAGTGTCTGGAGGGGACTCTGCGGAAGAGGAGGGTTGTGGCAGTGGGGCCGAGCCCGTGGCTCTACGCAGCCCCTGCAGCTCCTGCGGCCGCGGCAGCCCCGGTGCTGTCCACACCTCCTCCCTTTCGGGGATGGGTCCATGCTGTTGCCCTCACGAGTCGTCGTCGTCACACGTCACTCGGCTCAGCCTCTGCCCCTGCGTCCCCAGCCCCCCGGGCCCAGCCCGGCGCCCCGCACGCAGCTGGGGCCCAGGACCTCTGCCTCGCTGAGCCGGATGGTGGGTGGGCCTCATAGAATTGTTGCCTTAGCAACGAGAGTTTCGGCGGGGAAGTTGGAAGAGGCCTGCTGACCGGGGCTCGGGCCGCACTCCGTGGTCCGCAGAGGAAGAAGCCGCCGGGGAAGGCCGGAGAGCAGACAGGGTCAGGCTGCAGCCCAATGCCCTGGTTCTCCGGGTGCCGTGGGGCGCTCCCCAACCGCCGCGCGGCGGGGCGCAGGCCTGGACTCCTGCCCCGCCGGGCGAAGCCGCCGTTCGCTCTGAAGTAAGAGGCGGGGCACCCACTGTCACCGCGTGGGCGTGCTCCCCGTCACACCTGAGTGGCCGTGAGGTATCAGCGAAGCATTCCGCAGTTGTGCCCCCTCTGCTCAGCTGGCAGTCACGGGTGTTGTCTGGTGTGTCTCTGCAGACACAGGAGCACTTGCGTGGTGTTCTGCCCCCCGCGGGTAAGCCGCGACCCCCTGCTCGGCGGCCGTCCCTGACCCTGGGCACGCGGGGCCCCGGCCAGCGCTCTGAGACCCCCCCTTCACCCGCAGGTGCAGCAGTTCAAGCAGGACCCGCGCCCCACCACGTGCCTGCACTCCATCTTCCACGTGCACACCGGCGACGAGCTGCTCACCTGCGAGGAGTATGGCCACCTGCAGGTGGGTGGGGCCCCATCCTCTCTGGGCACCTGTGCACAGAGCGCCTTCCGGGCGGCTTACGTGTCTTACAGGTTCCCTCAGCCTTCCCGCGTGGAAGGGGAGAGCCCTGTGAAGCGAGGGGCAGGGTGCCAGCCACAGGCCGAGCTTGCTGCGGTGGTCGCAGTGTCAGGGGCCGCTGGGGGGCTGTGGGAGGGCTATCAGGCAGGGCCCGCAGCGACCAGGGCTCCCACTCGCTGCCACAGCGGGGAGAGGCCCAGCGCTCAGGAGCGGGGGCTGGTGGGGGGGACAGAAGACCACTGGCAGCGCTGTCCCGGCCGGGTGGGGGCCCTGCCGCCTGGCGGTCCGTGTTGGCACGGCCGCGCTCAGTGGAGCGAGCAGCCGGCCTCAGTGCCCTTCATCGTGTCCCGCCCTCAACTCTGAGCCTTCGCCGAGCGCGCGCCGGAGGGGCCGGGGTTTGCCTAACTTTTCTCCCCCCCCCACCTCCTGCACTGTGTGTGGGTCGCAGGCAGACACCCTGCGGCCTGGTTCCTGGGACGCGGACACTGCACGTGCCGCCGTCTCCCATGGGTGCTCCCCCCGCTCGCCTTCGGGTCCCGCGGCCTTCAGGACAGGAGACGTATTAGCCGCTATTTCCCACTGAAACGAGGGTGTCTTCCTTTTGTGGTCCCCCTCTTCCCAGCGGACAGGAACGTCTGACTGTCGAGTGACCCCCACACACAGTGCGACAGACGCCCCCCCTTTCCGCACAGCAGTAGCTGCTACATTTACTTGTAACCATTGAATGGAGATGCTGTTTCTCAGCCTTCCCTTGTACTGACCACGTCATCAGGGTTCAGGTGCCTCTTGCTTTGACAAGTGTGTTTCCTGTCGGAAACGGGGTTTTCAGGAGTCAGGGATGCATTTGTTTCTGTGTCCATTTATTCTTGTGTCCCAGAACACACACTCGGGCCGGCCACAGGGCAGGTGTCCAGCACACGCCGGCCACCCAGCTGCTGGGCAGTCCCTTCACGATCGGTCGTTTACTGACAGTTTCTCGCAGAAGCACCCCAAAAGCCAGAGCAGAGCGCTCCTGGAGGTGCGGCCCTACATGGTGGCCCGTAGGAAGGAGATTTGTCCGAGGCCGTTTCTGACAGGCCAGCGTCAGCGCTGTGACTGGACACTCGGGTGCCTGGCAGCAGGGGGAGGCCCTTCTCCACCACATGCTGAGAAAGGTCACTCAGAAGTTCACGTCCATCTAAATTACATGAAACCAGAATCCTGTACCCTTCTGTGTGGCCCACTGGGTCTGGATGAGCCCCTGCCACCCACCGGGGAGCTGAGAGCCCCCAGCGCTGCCCCCGTCGGCCCACGGGTCTGGGCAGGTGTGGCCTCATGTCCTGGAGCCAATCTTCTCCAAGCTCCCACGCAGGCACTGTAACTCGGGGGACCTGCCCCCCAGTTACGTCTTGGTGGGGGAGTTACTTCCATCCCCCTGGCTCAGAACATGGCCACAGCTATTTAACATATCTATGCAACCAGGTAAAGGTTATAGATGTTATAGGTTATAATGACCACGCTTTGCAGAGGTCAGCTGCAAAGCTGTTGCTATGCAGAACAGCTCTCAATGGCCCTGCTCCATGTGTCCCTTCCCCCAACCCACACCTGTAGGGGGGTAGGGGGTGAGGACATCTAATATTTCCTGACACCCTGAGTTCTGGGCCCCATTCCAAATCCCTATTTTGGGTCCCCCTCTTGGCTGCACCCTGTTACAATCCCTCCTTTCAGATATATACCCAGTTTATAATCTTATAAAGGACAATGGACAAAGGTCTCATCTTCTTGTAACTACTTCCTGCTGGCCATGGACGTTGTCCTACCTACCCGGGGGTCAGGGGTGCCCTGAAAGGGGGTGCGCGTGCAGCACGGGGGGAGTCCTTCCTGAAAGGGGAAGGACCGAACCCAGACATGCCTCTTCAGGCATGACATTCCAGTCAAAGTCTTGGTTAACAAAACCACTGTTAATGACTGGTCTTACTGGTTTTATGCAAAGAAACCTTATGTCATCACTCACTCCTACAGAATGCCAAATTCTGGAGGGATCAGGTAGGGAGAAAAATACAAAGCGTGAAAAAAAAATCCTTTCCCTTCTGATAGCCACCAGGCTTCTCAAAGCTTTCGCTTCCACAGACCTTCTGCAACATTCACAAACCCTCTAATCTTTCTTTCATACACCTTCATTTACATATCTTGTACTTTCCCATTTACTTTCCTAGAGCGTGAAGTTTCAACCTTCCCTGGAATCCTCAATTGTCTTTTCAGAGCAGATATAGAGCAAAACCCAAAACACAGAGTTCCAGAACAGTACACAGGTAGGGGCATTCTCTTGCACCAGTGCGTCCATCGGTGCCTCCCAGAGACATGCCCCCTTTGCCTCCGGCTGAAGCCCTCGTCAGCCCCGAGTGACCCTTCCTGGGTCCTGAGTGGCAAAGGCATGCTCCCCAGCCAGTTACAGGCGACCTTTCTTAGGTCTTCAAATACAGATTTCTAATCAGAAACAAAACCAATGTGAGAAATTTGCTCTTTTCCCACGAAACCAGAAAACAAGTAGTTGAGCTTTCCTTTACTCCAGGTTTAAAACTTTCACACCCTTTACATCCTTTATACATATTTTACTCATCCAGATTTAACCATCAATCTCTTTTAACCCTGGTTCCTTTCCCACACTGGGAAGGACTGTACTTAAACTCGGCATCTGGCAGCTGAAAGTCCCCAGCACGACAGGCACCTTCCACTAAAAGTCCCTGGATTCGCAGGGACCTCTTGCAGCTTTCTGAAGCTCAGACCTTGCAAACACCCTCTATATCAGACGGTCACCCTTGGACCTCAGTTCATGACCTTCAGAACCAGAGCCATTCCTATCAGAACCAGTTGCACAGGGAACCTGACTGCTGCAGTGCCCACATAGCGGCAGCACACAGCCCATGATCCCTAGAGAACCCTTAGCCCACCACCTTGCCCAGTTCCAAGATGGCAGCACCCATGCACGCTGAGTCATCCAAGATGGTGGCACCCATGCACGCTGAGTCATCCAAGATGGCGACACCCACCCATGCTGAGTCATCCAAGATGGCGGTGCCCACGCACGTGGAGTCATCCAAGATGGCGGCACCCATGCACGCTCAGTCCTCCATGGTGGCGCGCTCACGTGGCTCATCCCCCATTTTACCCCAAATGGCGGTGCACCCACGTGGCTTTCTGTCCGATCCCCACCACACATGCACGGCTCGGCTTACAGAGCCTAGGGGTTTGCATCCTCCCCAAACCTGAGTGCAGGTTCCCTTGGTGCCCCCTGGGTTCCCCGAAACTGTGAGTGAGCAGACCGGGGCCACCTGGGAGCAGCACGCTAACCAGACCATCGTCCACAGCTCCGTTGTTCCAAAACGGTGTTCAGACACCAGTGTTCAACCAAACCATTTCCACGTCTCTGCTCCGTCCCCGGTTTCGTTCCCTTTTCACCTCTCCAGGCGTGATAGGCGGTCGATGCCCTCAGGAGGAGCGCAGAGAGACTCTCGAGACGGGGACAACCCCGAAGTCTCACCCTCTGGCACCCGAGGGGGTCGGTCTGCCACGGACAATTGTCGTCCTACCAGAGTCACCCAAAACTGTTACAGAACAACAGGGTGGGGGGCCTGGGACGATATACTATTACCGAAAGGAACCCCCCAGGTCCGTCATGTCCGCTGCCAGAGGAAAGACGTCTCTCAATGCCAGAGGTTCGTGAAAGGGAAAGGAAATGTTTATCTAATGCTGTACAAAGTAGTGACCTAATGTCTTCATCAAAATCCCAAAGTCCCTTAAAACACCCACAAACACACACAGTCCTTCCTTCCCCCCTTTGCCCAGTCTGGGGTACCGTGTCCCAGGAAAAGAAATAGAAGTCCGTGACTCAGGCAGCCCCCGGTTATTCCCAGTAATCCGTCTCGGCTGGTAGGCCTCCCTCGGTTCCCGGCACCATCAGCTGTGCTGCCGGGATCTCGGAAAAGCCGGGTGGTGGTTCCCCCTTCTAAAGCTGTGGGGGTCCCCACTCTGGCAAAGCCGCAAGGTTCTCTCTCCACTGCCCCAGCTGCATGGTCCTCTCTGCACAATGGCCATGGGAGTCCCCACTCTGCCAAAACCGCGTGGTTCTCCCCTCAATGGCTGCCGAGTCTCAGTTTAAATCCCCGCGCCAATCGTCCTCTGCAGCCCCATTTCCGACTCCTCCCACACTCACTTACACCTGCCAGCACTCTCACATCCTTCCAGCTTCACTGGGCTGCCATCGTGGGTCCGGGCAGGTGCGGCCCCATGTCATGGAGCCAATCCTCTCCGAGCTCCCACGCAGGCGCTGTAACTCGGGGGGACCTGCCCCCAGTTACGTCTTGGGGGGGAAGTTACTTACATTCCTCTGGCTCAGAGCATGGCCACAGCTATTTAACGTATCTGTGCAACCAGGTAAAGGTTGTAGATGTGTTAAATGACCACGCCAAAGGTCAGCTGCAAGGCTGTTGCTATGCAGAACAGCTCTGAATGGCCCTGCTCCATGTGTCCCCCCAACCCACACCTGTAGGGGGTTGGTGAGGACATCCTAATATTTCCTGGACACCCTGAGTTCTGGGCCCCACCCCAAATCCCCATTTGGGGCCCCCTCTCAGCTGCACCCTGTAGCAGAGCTTCATGCCCGTCAGAGTGGTTCTCGCTCACTGCTTGTCGGCTGGAAGCGGGTTCCACGGCCCATTCGGGGGTCGGCGAGAATCTTCTGTCGTCAAAGCGGATGTTGTCGTCTCCATTTGTCTTCATTTAGATCATATAATGTCCATCTCTAATAGACGAAAAGCAGAACACCCAGTTGTTTATAAACCTCACCAGTTCGTCAGCAGACTCTAGATTCTGTGCTGTAGGCCACTGAGGGACACTGACGCATGCCTGCGGCTGCTTCTGGGAGTTCCGCATCGTCTGGGGGGGGGGCGGGGCGGGGGGGGCTGCTCTCAGGATGGGTGCGGTTGGCGGTGTGCGGGCAGGTCCCTGTGTCCCCCCCCTCCCCCCCCGCAGGGCTGCCCGGCAGCGCGGCCACCTCGGGGGCAGGACCGCTGCAAGGCAGGAGAGAGTTTTAGCCCCAAGGTAAAAAATGAGTCTTTGGAAAAAAAAAAAAAAACCTGCTGTAGAAACACCTGCCCAAAGTTCCTCCTGGGGGCGTTTCCCCGATTGGGGGTCCGGCCCAGGAATGGGGGGGGGGCGCCGCAGTGCCTTGCAGAGGAGGCGGGGCCTCGACCCCGAACCCAGCCCCCAGCCGCCGTGTTTCTCCGTGGGAGGGGCGCTAGTCTCCGTGGGCCGGGGCGGGGGGCGTGCCTGTGACTGCCGCTTCACGTTTATGCTCGTGACGTCCTGGCTGCGCGGACCGCGCCCCTCACCGCGCGCCGGCTGTCGCCCGCAGATCAACGCCGTGTCGCTGTACCTGCTCTACCTGGTGGAGATGACCTCCTCCGGCCTGCAGATCGTCTACAACACGGACGAGGTGGGCCGCCCGCCGCGCCTCGGGGGGCCTCGGGGGGCGTCTCCCTGAAACTTCTTCAATCAGTTTCACGAAAAGGGGCTTATTCTGCAGTTCCTATAGTCAGGCACTATAGCGTTTGCAGATTTTCTTGGTTATTACATTTTTTTTTCCCCATCAGCCGTGTTTGTAACCCATCCTTTTAAAAGTAGACACTTTCATCACATTGTGTTTTTCATTTGTGGGGGCCTCTCAGGAGGGTCCCTGCGTTTCTCAGACGCTAAATACCACGTCCTTATTCGTACCTGGGACTTGGACTGACTTTCTGTCCCCAGTGGAGCGAGTTCCCTCCCGGGCGGTGACGCTTGATCGCAGGCGGACACCCCTGCCGACGCCCCTGGGGCCGAGCCCCGCCCGGACCCGGGGCTCCCGCCCCTGCGGTGGTCCCCGCACAGGGCAGTGCCCTCGGGGAGGCGGGCTGGCACGCTGGTCGCTCTTCCTGTCCCCGCGTCCAGGCAGGGTACACGTGGCCGCACACCCGCCGCCAGGGTCATCGGTGGGCCGCACGCGGCCGCCGGGGGCTGTGGTCTCGTCGGGCCCTCCAGCTGCGTCTTTCACTGACAGTAAGAAAAGGCCACTTAGAAGTGAGGGGAGATGACAAAACAAGGAAAAACGGTACGAAGGAACGAATGATAACCACTGAGGTTTCTTCTGTCGGGCTCCTCCGAGAGTCACACGCTGTCATTGCGTCTCAGTCCTCCTCGTGTTCAGTAGGGTTGTGAGGAACACTGGTGTTCACGTGCTCTGGGGAGAGGAGCGGTCGGGGGCCTCCTGTTCAGACCAGTCTTTTTTTTTTTAATTTTATTTTAATTGTAGTTGAAGCACAATTTTCTATCTTTTACTCCCATCCCAGCCCGCCCGCCCCCAGACCAGTCTTAAGCGGCGTCCTAAACATAGAACAAACAGGAGACGTGTGACTCTCCAGGGGCGCGGGGCTCCCAGAACCGGCCCCAGAGCTTTCCCTGTCTCCTCCTCCCCCCTCCCCCCCCCAGGAGGGGCGGTCAGGCCCGGCAGCGCCCGGTGAGGCGGGTCACAGTAAGGAGCCACTCGTGAGGGGCGCCGGTGGCTTCCCGCTGTTGCCGCCGCTAACGGCAGCGGGGCCGTTGCCCTCGTCCGCCGTGGCTGTGTTCTGTTTGCTGTTTTATTTTCATTTTCAATTTTTAATACTTTTTTTTTTTTTTGCTTTCTCGATATCTGCCATAGTTCGTTTTAAATCTTCGCTTGGCAACGGACATTTTTTATATAAATACAACGTTGCTTGCACCATTGCCCCTGTTTTACGTGGCTTTGTTACCCTTAAGCAGTTTTGCTGTCTTTTTCTTAAATGTGTTTTTTATCCTTTCCCGATGCCTCTCTTGGCCTTAGAGGTTTCACTGGGTAACGCACCACTTTTATGCAGCCAACACCCACGAGTCCCCCTGCGTGCACGCGCAGTGCTGGACGGTGAGGCGTGTGCACGCTGCCCCGCCGCCCCACTGCTCCGCCCTCGAAGTCCCCGGGACCGGCCCGGTCAGGAACCCCAGGGGGAGGCCGGCAGCCGGGGGCCCGGGCGGCATCTTCCGGGGATGGAGTGCCTTTTAAGACGGGGCCTTCTCCCCTTGGACACGTGGGCTTTGCACTGTCCTGCCAGTCTGGGGGTGGGGGTGGGGGTGGGGGACACCTGTCGCCACTGCAGAGGGCTCTCGTGAGGGAGGGCGGGCAGCTGCAGGCGCCCAGCTCGCCGCGCGGAGCCGGGCCTGAGGACCAGACCAGGACCCCGCAGGCGGGACCGGCGGCCCCTGTTGACGCGAATGCACGTGCGCTACCGAGGAGCCAACCAGAGTCCTTGCTCTCACCCTCGGTTTTGAGAGTGTGAACTCGAGTGCCCGAGATTTTTACTGGGAAGCCCTGTGGCTCCTGGGCGGTGGTCTGGAGCCGGCCTCTGCCCGCCGGCTCTGAGTTCATGGCTGCAGCTGTGGGCAGGCAGTGGGGTGGGGGAGGCCAGATTCGGGGGGCAGCAGACACAGGGCTCCAGGCGGGGACCCCCCCGCCACGGGTTGGCTTGTTGCAGAGCTGAGCACTGCTTTTTTATCGCCAAAGTGTAGACTTATTTAACATTTCATGTGGGCATTTTAGATTCCCAGCCCTATCTGCTATAAAACAGCGCTTTGGGTTCTTCTGAATTCTTAAGCGGCCCAGCCCCCTGTGGAGTGTCACGGGTGCCGCAGGGCGGGCTCCGGGCTCAGTTCTGGGTGGCGCGCCACTAGGGCCTGGCTTCAGGCTCCGCGTCAGAGCGGCCGGGCCTGACGCAGCGTTCGCAGTGAGGCAGGGGTCCCCAGGGCTCGGGGCCACGGAGAAGGGTCACGAGACAGGGACGCGCCGGGGTTTCAGGTGGCGTCTGATGGGTCTCGTCACCGCCCAGACGTCCATCGTCGCTCCGGTCCTCACGCCCCCTCCCTCCCCGCAGGTCTCCTTCATCCAGAACCTGGTGTTCTGCGTGGAGAGGGTGTACCGGGTGCCCGACTTCGGCGTCTGGGAGAGAGGCAGCAAGTACAACAATGGCAGCACGGAGCTGCACTCGAGGCAAGTGCTGAGCTCCGAGCTTTCAAAGCGGCGGACGAGCGGGTTTGAATATGAATGAAAATCAGGGCGTTAGACTGGAGCTGCAGTTCCTATGTTAATCTCCGTCTCTCACAATTAAAGCGAAGGAGTCAGCTCTGCGCGCCCAGGAGCAGCTGTGGGGGTGGGGGAGGGGGGAGCAGGTGTCTCTCCCAGCCCCCCAGCGTCAGAACAGCACGCTGGCCGACCGCCAGGCCCCCGCCAGGCCTGGCCCTTCCGCCCAGCCCGCCACGCCCTTCCTCCCTTCCCTGCCCGGCTCTGGGGTGTTGGGTCCGTCGCCGCGGCCAAACACCCGTGTGCATGCTTTGCCTGCCGCCTTCCCTTCCGGGCCGCTGAGCTGGTTACCGCCCTCACCAGACGCGTGCTCCCACCTTGCACGTCCACTTGACTTGCCCCCCTTTCTGGAAGGGGGTGAGCAACCCCCGGAGCTGGGGTCCCGTGGATTTGGAGACCCTGCAGCGGCTGGTGGTGGACGTCGGCCGTTTTCGGGTTTGTTGCTGGGGAAAGGGCCCCAGAGCCCCTCTCAGCTGCCCTCGCCCGACGCCCAGGACCCCTCTTCCGGAGGAGAAGCGCCGCTCAGCTGGCCCTGTCTGGGCACACTGCCCGGGCGGAGAGTTCAAAGGCCGTGTGAGCTGCGGGTCAGCGTGGACAGTTGAGACTGCAGTGAGCTGGGGGCACGGCTCAGGAAGCTCTGGTTAGGGGGGGTCTGCTGCTCTGCACTTCCCGGCTAGAAGGACGGGTCACGGGAAACCCTGGGCCGACGGGAGGTGTCTCGTGCACGCGGAACGGCTCCCGGTCACCGGCTGTGTGAGGTCTCTCGTGCCTTGGTCTCCTCGTCTGCCCGGTGAAGATACTAGTGGATTCTGCTTTATGGGGTTGCTGTAACGGTCGTGTTGACACAGATATGTGCTAACAGGCGTGTATGTGTACATGTGTGCATGTGTGTGCACACGTGCTTTATATGTGTGTGCAGCATCTGAAGGCCTGCCATCAGTAAGCCCTGCATACAGTGCACACACGCTTTTCCCAGCGTTTTAATGACAAAGACGGGAACAAAAATTAATGCCGGTTAACTGACATCAGAACACCTTCCTGTCGGTTTTGTCGGCCGCCCGAGGCCTCTCCGTTCACGGCAGGGCTCAGGACGGGCCCCACCCCGGACAGGGCACCTTCCGTAGCCGGCCTCTCGCACACGCACACCCCCCCACCCCCAGGACAGTGCGGACACATCTGCGGGGCGTGGGGGGCGACGGGGGTGCCCAGAGGAGGCCCGCACGGGCGTGGGGAGAGCGTGCTAACTCCGGCCCCTGCCGGGATCCGAGGTTTCTGCTCACCAGTGTCGTCCTGAGGCCACACCGAGCAGAAGGGTGTTAGTGAGGACCTGCCGTGACCTCGCACAGAACCCCTGGTAACAGCCCCGTTCACTGCGGGGGCGAGGGGGTGGGGGGTGAGGGAACAGGGGCTCCCAGTCGTCCTCCTGGGAGCCAGGTGCCCGTCGTGACGGTGACGCGAGGAGATCTTACTCCAAGGCCTGGGAGGTGGTTGTGTGACATTCTTTGCTCCCCTTTGCGTGCAAAATTAGTCTGGATTTTAGCAAGCCAATTTTATGCACATAGGTGGGAAATGAGGTTTGTCTTTTAGATTCGAATGATGGGTTTTATGCGTTTACCATTTTCCTTCCGATTTCCCATAGTAAAACACTTCTCAGTTCCCCAAAGTAACTTGAAACGCACCTTCTCAAACGCTCTGAGCGCCGACCTCCCCAGCCCACTCTGGGTGTGGGGCGTGGGCGCCCGAAGGTCAAGGGGTCAGGGAGGCGGAGAAGTAGTTCAGAGGGAAGCTCGGCTCAGTTTGAAGGTGCCAGGAAGCCGGCCCCCTGGGTGCCGTGACGGGGTGGGGGTCCTTCCCGGGTGCTGGGTGCGGGGCCACCACCAGCCAGAGACCACCCCAGCTCCAGTCCGAGACCCAGCCCGTAGCCGTGTCCGCCTCTCAGGAGCCCCGCGCCGTGACGTCCGCTCCGGCTCCAAGTGTGCGCCCACTGCCCCGTGCCCCGACCCCCTGTGTGTCCCCCCCCACCCCACCCCAGGTCCGTGCCGGCGCTCCACAGAGAGCAGAGTGTGATCTGTCTGTCGCCCTGGTGCTCTCGGGGCCGTGGCCAGAGGGACTGGCTCAGCAAACGCCCTTTTCCCCGCCGCCCTCGCCCGCTCCTCCCTGGCTGCACTCGGGTCAGAGAAAGCACCCGGGCCCCCCCCCCCTCCCGCCCCCGAACTTCACTCCGTGTTCCGACATCGGAGGCCGGGCTCTCCGGCAGCCACGCCCAGGGGTCCTGCGAGGGTTGTAGCCTGCGGCCTGCCCCGCTGGGCCGCCCGCGGTGCTCTGCTGTGTCCCGGGGCATCTGGGGTCTCGAAGAGTTCTCCCATGCTGGGAAGCACAGCGGAGCGGACCTGCTGGGTGCAGTGTGGCGAGTTCCTGGGAGACCGTCCTCCCCGGCAGCCCATCCAGCCTCCCCCGGCCCAGGTCCACCCCTCCCTGACCTGTCCGTCTTTCAGTCTTCCAGCCCCAGGCGGGCCGGTTCCCCTCTAGTTCAAGTGCCTGGATTGGGGAGTGCTTCTTCGCTAAACCCCAGAACTTGTTTTCTGAAAGGCAATCTCATTGCACATAGCCGAACCCCGTTCTAGCGGCAGCCTCACCCCACCCAGGGCTTCCGGGCCCGGGCCGGGCGCTCTGCACGCACCACTGCGATTCTCCTGAACCGTTTCCCAAGCAGCCGCTCCCTGCCCTCCCGGCCTTCTGGTCGACCCGGCTCAGGCAGCAGGCCCCTGCCTGTCCCTCCCAGGGCGTCCGAGACCCCACCGGAGCCGCCCCTTCCTCCTCTGAGCGTCTCCGTCTCTCAGTAAGTGCCCGCACTTCCGTGTTATCTCACTTTGAATGACAGTTGACACACAGTGTGACACGAGCTTCAGGTGCACAACACGGTGATCAGACATTTACGTTACGTACACAGCTGTCCCCCCGGTAAGTCTGTTCCTCCTGCTGCTGCCACGCACGGTTACTACGATATTAGTCAGCGTTATTGACTGATTATTACGATACAGTCCCTAGGCTGGACTCGACCTCCTCGGGACCGTTCGTTACTGCCAGTTTGTACGTCCCAATCCCTTCGTCTTTCCCCCCAGCCCCAACCCCCGCCCCCGCTCCGAGCGCCCATCCGTTTAAAAGTCCTGCGGCATCTGGCCAGTGACGCTGCCTCCCCGAGTCTCACTTCGGTACCTGCTTCCTGTCACACCGGTTCTCAGCCCCCGGAGCTGCAGACCCAAGGGGTCGCAGCCGCCCCAAGCCTGCGTGCTTTCATCTTTCTGTCTCCCCCTCCCGACTCCTGTGAGGAGACCGCCGCTCCTCGGGGCTCCCCGTGAACCCACACACTCTCTGTCCTGGGGAAGAGCTGAGTCTTCTGTGAAACGTGAATTGCATCCCACACCTGACTTTGAACCTGGTGGCTGTTGGGAGGCAAACCCGAAAGTGGCACTTTAATGAATTAATACTGTGGATGTGTGCCCCAGTGGGAAGAAACAGTTTTGAAACACCAACTGCTAAATGGAACTTTACATGTAACAGCATAATTTAACTTTTTACTACGTGAAGTCTTGTGTTTGCAGCATAAAGACTGTAGATGCAAAGAGAATTTAAACCTGATTTTTCAAGGTTGTTTTTTTTTTAAACAGCTGTTATGTTCCATCCTCCTGGCTTTTCCAGTGAGAAAAGCCGTCGCTGACCCATCAGACAAGTAGCCACGGCAGCACCACTTTACCCAGCGGAGGATGCTTTTAGTGACCATTTTCTCCCACCCAGGGCTTGTCATTAAAGGCACTGCTTAGCCCTAAGTCCTCACTGCCGTTCCGGTCTCTGAGCTGCGATAGAAGCCGCTGTCTGCTGCGCTGCTCTGCGTGTGTGTTTGCCGCACCGAACAGAACCGCGCGTGAGCATCCGTTGCGACCCCGGTTCTCCGGAGCCCTCTTTCTTCCAGGAGGCTTGATGGGCAGCTCGGGGAGCTAACGCTCGGCATCAGTCAGCAGGGGCTGTGAGTTCAGTTCCCACGTTTGCCGGTCGGTTCTGGGATGCCTCGGTGGGCCGGCCAGTCGCCTAGTCCACAAGTGCAGACTTACACGACAGTCACTCCGTTCCAAACCGTGTCTGGGCAGGCCTCCCTCGCGTCAGCCCTCTGAAGTGAGTGGTGCCATGACGCTCTGCAGAAATCAAAGGGGTGAGCGTTCTCTTGGCAGTAGTCGCTTAATATCAGTATATACTCAATACCTAGTAATGGGATGATTTTAACGAAAGCCTTGTGCTGGTACACGTTTTTAATTCTAACAACATTACGTGTTACATCCTCCAATAAAAAGATCACACTAGGAGAGTGTTTCATTTTCTAAATAGCTTGCCCTTGCCAGAGATTTAAATACACAGCGGGTAATAAATTAACATATTTGTACATTTTAATCAAGTCCAATTATTTAACGAATTGCATTGGGGAGGGAGATTAAATGGAAAGAATGTAACGTTTCCTCTAGTCCAGGAGCAGCGTTTGTTTCTTTTGTGATGCTCTAATTAGAAGACGGTTTCTAAATTCAGCCCGGAGCTGTCTCTTTTTGTGCACTGTCGTGGAAGAACCGTGGGCTAGCTACATTGTCTCTTGCGGTACGGAACTTCCTATGTTACCACTCAAACAGTCTTGATCGCTCATGCACTTCGGTGGAGACTTTCTGCTGTTACTCAGCTGAATGCATGCAGAGCATGCGCACTGGGGGCTCACGGGGAACTCCTGGTCTCCAGACCACATCCTGCAGCAAGAAAACGAGTGGACGACGCAGGCTTCTTTGTGAACCGTGGGAATACATAACCCCGAGGGGCCCCCCTCACCCTTAGGGTCCCTACTCTGGACTTCCTGGGCGGGGACTGTTCGGTGTGCGAGGCTAAGCTCGATAGAGGTGGGAACCCGACGTGGGTTCCCCCGGTCCCCTGTTGCTGTGGCAGACGGACCATCCAAGTTCAGAGGCACGGGACAGCAAACAAAAGCTCCACGTGGAGTTTCCCGTGCAGGCTTCCTGACAGCACGCAGGCTGGGCTCCGGGGCCCTGCACCCCGCGGGGGAAGGGGAGCCACGGGGGAGCCGCGCCGCCTTTGTGACCCGTCTGCCGGCGCCCGCGGCCTCGCTTCCAGCAGGGCAGGTCCCGGCCGTGATGTCGGCAAGACGGAGCCACGTTCTTCTGGCAGCGCCGTAGCCAAGGGGAGGGGGGTGCCGTTCCCCCCCGACTGTCCTGGGGGGGCGTGGAAGTCCAGAGCCCCGCCCAGCCTGAACAGGACCGGGTGGGGGCGGGGCCCCTGCTCCGTCCGGGCGCGTCCTGTCTGAGCGTTTTCTGTCCTGCCCTTCCTGGGACCCTTGGCTGGAGAGAGCAGGCTCTGGGGGCCTTTTCCTTCTGCTGGGCACCTCCCGGCATTCCCCGCTTCTTGCGTCTTCGGGCCCGGTCTGGTGCGGACGAGGCGGAGAGGAAGCCCGGGACCTTAGCCCGGCGTTGTTTCTGGAACCCCGAGGTTCCCGGCCAGCCCGCCTGCCTTCTTCCTGAGCCGCCTCCTCGTCGTCCTCGGTGTGGTCCCCGGGCCTCTCAGCGGCACTGAGTGAGGGCACAGGGGACGTTGCCGACCCCACTGGTGTTGTAAGGCTCCCATGCATTTGCTCTCCTGTAACGCAATGACGCCTACTGCGGAACGTCTCTGCGGGCGCCCCTAGAAAAGGTGGGTCACCGAGCCACGAATGGCTGAGGACCGTGGGCCTCAGCTTCCAAGTGCATTCAAGCACCTGGAGGGCCTTTTCGCACCGATGGCTGGGTCTCGCTGCTGGGGAGGGGGTTCCTGGGTGACCCTGATGCTCCGGACACCCTGCTCTGCGAGTCACCGCCTTAGAGACACGCTGGGGTCGTGGCAGATCGTCATTTTAAATGACGTTAATGGCGTATGCAGTTGCTTGCAGAAGAACATTGCCCTAAGTAAAATAAATCGGATATCAGGCCTAAAAATACTTAAAGGTGAATATGTATAAGATGACAGTGCTGTATTTTTAATGAAATGGGGGCCCTCTCGTTTTCAGCACTATTGTATGTGGTCTTTGAGAGTCCAAAGCGGCACGCCTTTTGTTACAAAGAGAATAAAGCAGGAAATAAATAAATTAAAAAAAAAAAAAGGAAAGAGGGAGGTGTGGTGGTCAGCTGTCTCGTGAAGGTAAAATGACCCGGTTTTATTAGCCCCTCGGCCAAGAGTATGTGAATGTTTGGACCCAACCACGCTCTGGGTAAACTCGCGACACGCGAGGTCTTTTTCAAGGCTCAGGGCGGCCGTCAGAAAACCTCTTTTGCGTGGATCCAAGCCCACCATGCCACCCTAGTTTCCGTGGGGCATGCGCCGCCGTGACCCCCCGTCCTTCGAGCTCACCCTCGGCCCGAGGTGGCGAGGACGCACGAGGCCAGAATTAAAACCGCTCCCGCCCAGGGTGCGGCCATTTGTGTGGGCCAGGCGAACCCGGAGGTGTCTCCCCCAAGATCACCGACTATAAAAAAGAGGAATTAAAACAGTGATCCGTCAGGCTGAAGTCTCCTGGTCATTATTCTTCCTGCGGAAGTTGTTGTGAGTGTTCGTCCGGAGCCTTGCGCATGAATATTCATCAGATGGCGGTTCTCGTCCGGGGGCCAGATAATGTCAGAGTTACGAAGTGCTTCCTTTTCTCTCCCAGCTCCGTCGGCCTGGCCAAAGCTGCTCTGGAAGCGATTAACGGATTCAACCTCTTCGGCAGCCAGGTAAGAGAACGGCAGTGGCAACAACAGACGTTGATTACTTTTTTAATTACGTGTTTAATTAACCCGGCCATCCATTCAGCAAGGCATTGCTCGTGACCAGAGAGTGTCTGAGATTTACGAAGCAGCCCGTGATTGAACAGGCTTCCCTTTGAGTATGATTTGCCGGGTAAATTCTCATTCCCCAACTAAAAAACATTGCCTAAGTAAAAAAAATCTTTTGATAAAGAATTCTCATTATCTTTGTTCAATAACTTTCCCCTCAAGCCCCTTGATGAGCTTTCCCATCAGGTGTTTCCACTCCAGCTTGCGTGTTGCTTGTGGTGCACGCGTGTCAGTGTGCAGCCCGTGTGCAGGGGCACCTATGTGTCAGCGTGCAGCCCCTGTGCAGGGGCGTCTGTGTGTCAGCGTGCAGCCCGTGTGCAGGGGCATCCGTGTGTCAGCGTGCAGCCCGTGTGCAGGGGCACCCATGTGTCAGCGTGCAGCCCCTGTGCAGGGGCGTCTGTGTGTCAGCGTGCAGCCCCTGTGCAGGGGCACCCATGTGTCAGCGTGCAGCCCGTGTGCAGGGGCACCCATGTGTCAGCGTGCAGCCCCTGTGCAGGGGCGTCTGTGTGTCAGCGTGCAGCCCCTGTGCAGGGGCACCCATGTGTCAGCGTGCAGCCCCTGTGCAGGGGCGTCTGTGTGTCAGCGTGCAGCCCCTGTGCAGGGGCACCCATGTGTCAGCGTGCAGCCCCTGTGCAGGGGCGTCTGTGTGTCAGCGTGCAGCCCCTGTGCAGGGGCACCCATGTGTCAGCGTGCAGCCCGTGTGCAGGGGCACCCATGTGTCAGCGTGCAGCCCGTGTGCAGGGGCATCTGTGTGTCAGCGTGCAGCCCCTGTGCAGGGGCACCCATGTGTCAGCGTGCAGCCCCTGTGCAGGGGCGTCTGTGTGTCAGCGTGCAGCCCCTGTGCAGGGGCACCCATGTGTCAGCGTGCAGCCCGTGTGCAGGGGCACCCATGTGTCAGCGTGCAGCCCCTGTGCAGGGGCGTCTGTGTGTCAGCGTGCAGCCCCTGTGCAGGGGCACCCATGTGTCAGCGTGCAGCCCGTGTGCAGGGGCACCCATGTGTCAGCGTGCAGCCCGTGTGCAGGGGCATCCGTGTGTCAGCGTGCAGCCCGTGTGCAGGGGCACCTGTGTGACCGTGTGCAGCCCGTGTGCAGGGGCACCTGTGTGACTGTGTGCAGCCCGTGTGCAGGGGCGTCTGTGTGACTGTGTGCAGCCCGTGTGCAGGGGCGTCTGTGTGACTGTGTGCAGCCCGTGTGCAGGGGCGTCTGTGTGTCAGCGTGCAGCCCGTGTGCAGGGGCACCTGTGTGTCAGCGTGCAGCCCGTGTGCAGGGGCACCTGTGTGTCAGCGTGCAGCCCGTGTGCAGGGGCACCTGTGTGTCAGCGTGCAGCCCGTGTGCAGGGGCACCTGTGTGTCAGCGTGCAGCCCGTGTGCAGGGGCACCTGTGTGTCAGCGTGCAGCCCGTGTGCAGGGGCACCTGTGTGTCAGCGTGCAGCCCGTGTGCAGGGGCACCTGTGTGTCAGTGTGCAGCCCGTGTGCAGGGGCGTCTGTGTGTCAGCGTGCAGCCTGTGTGCAGGGGTGTCTGTGTGACCGCGTGCAGCCCGTGTGCAGGGGCACCCGTGTGTCAGCGTGCAGCCCGTGTGCAGGGGCATCCGTGTGTCAGCGTGCAGCCAAAGCGACAGAAGTTCTGACCCCAGCGAACCCTCGGCTGGCTAGGATCATGCGTCTCCATCTCATTTCCCTTGGAATGAAAGGGAAACCCTGGGGGCCGCCTCAAATTTTCGTGAGGTCTTTAACCAGCTTCTGCACGTGATCACGTAAGCATGGGCTGAGCTGTTGATGGAGGGAATAAAACGTAAAGAGCCCAGGGTCCTTCCTGGGATCGAGAAGTCGGCCAATGTCCTGTAGCCATTTTTATACAGATTTCTAAGGTGGAGGGACAAAGGAGGTTGGCTCCAGCGATGCTATAGTCAACCCTGAACTGGTAGAATGCTAACGGGTAAAGCCGCATTCGAGGAGGTCGTACAGAGTGGCCAGTGGTGACGACCTTGTCGCGGCAGTCAGGTGTGGCACTGTGCTCCTCACGTGCGGAACGTGGCGGCGCAGGGTCGCCCCCCCCCCCCCCCGACCGCAGGGCTCTGCTCTTCTCACTGTGCGGCCTCTGGGGGACGGACCCCGTCCCGTCCGGATCCTGGGCAGTGAGGACGCACCCCACGGAAGGGTTGGGAAGGGGAGCAGGACCTCACCACAGTGGGCGCGCACGCGGCGACCCTGAACCGCCCACTGCCAGCACGCTTGTCTCTCAAGACCTCGGGCCGGGGCGAGGAGGGTCACGGCTGCAGGGTCCGCGGGTGGGAGAGCCCCCCGCGTGTCCCGAGTGCTGACACTGCGCCTCTCCTGGGGGTCCGGGGGCCTCCGCAGGGGCCCCGGCCCCTGGCCGCCTGTCTCTTCCTCCTGAAGAGTCCGAGACTTGTGGATGCCACACGTACCTGCCACATCTTCTACTTCCTCCCCCCGCCTCGCTCTCGGTGTGTTCACTTAAATGTGTGTGTGTGTGCACGCCTGTGTAAGAGAGAAATCGGAGGGCAGGCAGGCAGGCAGGAGGGGGCAGGAGGGCAAGTGGCACAGTGAAGGGCAGCCGTGTGCACAGCAGCCCAGAGGGACGGGACCACCCGAGTGCCCACTGACGGACGGACGGGTGGACAGAGGAAGTGCGGAGGGCACGCACGCACGACAGAGCAGGAGAGACGGACGGGCACTACACGGCCTCACGGACGTGCGGGATAGGGATAAAGCAGAACAAACAGCCAGAGCCCCCAGGGCCCAGAGGCAGCCAGCCAGCCGATGGGCGGTTGCCCGCGGGGGGGGGGGGGCACCCGGGGTGCAGAGGGTCGCAGGCGCACGCTCCCAGGCACACGTGAGGCCGTGTGCTCGCGCACCAGAGCGCAGTCGCAGAGCTCAGTGCGTTCGGGAGTTGGCCCAAGCTGCCAGCCTCCCCGCGGGCTGTGCGGGTGCGGTCGGGGGGTGCGGGCAGGGTCGCGGGGGCTCCGGGGACGGGGCGGGGAAACACGACGTCCACAGTTGGCCAGGGGTTCTGCACGGCCCGTCCCCATAGAACGCCCTTCCACACGCCGTCCCGACCCGGAGAAGTCCGCCCACGGTGGAGGCCGCTCACGCGTGCGGACTGGTCACGGCGCTGCGGATGGCGCTGGCCTCTCCCCTTGGACACGCGCAGGCCCGAGTCAGTGCGTCTGACCGTCCGAAGCAGGCGACGATTGGTCCCGTGTGTGCGCCCTCCTGGAGGATGTTTTTAAAAGACTCGCTGCCGAATGGGAGCAGCCGCCCGAGGCCCCGGGCGCGTTCACGCCCTGGCGGCCTGGGGCCGAGTGCCGGAAGCAGGGTCTGTTTGTCAGGAGGACCGCAAACGATGCAGTTCACCGGCCTTCGGCCTCGGTGTGAGAGCCCGGGGGTGGTGCGAGGTTTCTTTCCCCGTGCTCGTGTTTCTGAGGGGCTGGCCCAGGAAGAGATCTCGACAAATAAACCCTGTATTTTTGGCCAGAAAATACAAGTTGGCTGTTTATACTAAATAATAGCAAGAATTGCCAAATTTGCCATTTTGCTTCATTATTTATACATTATCCTGCTTGGATTGTGTCTTTAAAAATTCAGCTCAGGGCAGACTGATACGGCATGCAGTGACCTTTATTCACTGCCAGCCGGAGAGTAAAGTAAGCCCTATTATTCTGTGCATTCATAGACTGCCAACAACTCGAACCCTCCCGTTTCTCTGCCCCCCTTTTTTGTTCTAACCCCGCCCCACCGCTGCTCCCCTGTCCCCCAGGTCCAGATCCCAGCTGTGGTCCTCACCTCTTCCAGGCAGCGCCCACCTTCCCCGCCTTGCTGTGCCCCCGTCACCTTCAGGGGCGCCCTCTCATCAGCATCCCGGGTCTGAGCCCCTCAGCTGGCCCCTGGCCCGCCCTGCGTGGACGGCCCTTTCGTTTCAGTGCTCGCCCGGCCCAGGGCGGAGCATCCCCGGGCCACTGCCGGAGGCCAGAGGCCAGAGGGCAGGTGCCGTCCTGTCCGCTCTCCTGAAAGCGGAGGAAGCAGGCTTGTCCGACTCAGTCTGGCGAGGAGAGAGGCAGGCGAGGGCAGCTGCGCGTCCGTCGTGTGGTGGCTGAGCGACAGCCCCTCCCACTCGGTGTCCGATGGCTGATTTGTTGGAGTTGAGAGAGGCGCCAGAATGGTACTGTCACTGGCCAGTCCTGCCCCTTCCCGAGCTGCACCCGTGCGTGGCCCGAGCCGACACCCGTGCGTGGACGTGGGCCAGCCGGGAAATGGCACGGGTTGGTTCCGACGCGTGCGCCTGGGGCCTAGGACCGCCGCTCTGCGTTCCTGGCCGGGCGGGCCACATGGCAGCGGTGGGTGCGGCGCGCTCCGGCTTCAGGGTGGGAAGGGGGGGAGGTTCCGCAGGCTGTGTCGGACCCGCGTGGTTTTCATGATGGCCCTCCTCCTCCTTTCCCCACGGAGCTGGAGCTGTCCGGGCGTTCTCCCGAGAGCGAGCCGTCTTCACACGCCCACATCGTCCTCTCTGATTCCCAGAAACACCTGGCTCCCCTGGGAACGGAGCTCAACCTCGTTTGCCTGTGGCTCTGCTCTCGGATGCGGAGGGCACCGACAGTGGCGGAAGAGTGCATTGCTTTTAACTTGGTGAAACTCGGTTAGCCACCGGTGAACACTCCTTTGTTCAAGTTTTGGGTTCTTACTTGAGCGATATTTTTTAGTGTGGGAAGTTGTGTGACTTAGAGACGTGACTTGGAGCCCTCGCTGTGTGAAACTAGGGTTTGGCACCCTTTTTCAGTAAGATGGGAATGCTGGTGTCTGCACACGGGGTTACACGAGACCGTCCATGAGAGGCAGGAAGCCCAGTGGCTGACACCCGGTGCATACTGGCTGGTGTTACCTGCAGTATTATTATTATTATTATTATTATTATTATTATTATTATTATTATTATTATTATTTGAGGTTCTCCTGTGTTCATGTTTTAATCAAGTATTGTTTATATCCATAATTCCAGGTTGTGTCTGAATTTTTGCAGTTTGACCATGTAATCAACATTCTCTACTAGGACTGAACAATGAGATTTCATGAATCTGTATTAGTGTTTGCATCATTCCTGGTCAAAAACGTTAACTAAACTAGTATTTGTACTTTTATTAAAGAAAGTATCTGTAATTGATTAGTTATCTTATAGTCAATACATTTGGGTTTGTAAGAACGCTAAGGAGAAATGGGGAACATAGAAAAGTAACATTTATTTTTTATTATAAAACTGGTAGGTTTATTGCAAGACATTTGGGAAACACTGACCGTGTTTGTTCAAAAGGAGGTCAAAGCCCTCCGCAGCTCCGCTCCCCAGGGCGGCCAGTTTGTGTTTCCCAGAAACTCTGGAACCGCCCTCCCGGCAGGGTGGCGGCCCAGACGCCGCCCCCCCCGCCCCCCCCCCCCCCCGCTGCAAGTCCTCCCCCCCATTCTCTGTCCCCTCTCTGTCGCCCCAGGGCTGCTCGTGGTCGGTGATCTTCGTGGACCTGGACGCCCACAACCGCAACCGGCAGACACTATGCTCGCTGCTGCCCCGGGAGTCAAGGTCGCATGTGAGGAGCCCCCCCCCCCCCCGCCCCCCACCGACCCGCCCCCGGCTGCCGCGCGGGGCGTTTCTCCCTGACACGCTGTCTGCGGGTTTTCTGTAGGGGCCATTTGTGCCTCTACTTTTAGAAAACACCCCAAAGGGAGTGATTCCATGATTTAAAAATAACTGTCGTGTAGAGGTGAAGAAAGATTTTGGTAAAAGGAAAGTAGAACCCGCAAACATGCAAGTAACGTGCTCTCTGCTCGTTACTTCACCGCTCAGTGATCGTCTCGGGCGACACGTTGGTGCTTCCCGGCTTCCACGCACTTTATGTGCGCACACACAGCGTTTTCACTTTGCAAAACCGGAAGAATGTTGTCCGCAATGCTCGACAGCCCGTCCATGTACGGACCTGTTCGCGTGTCAGCGAGCGTCTCTGCAACATGCGTGTTAGTGGCTGCTGCGTTACCCGCCTCATCGCGGAGCATTTAGACGGCTTCGAGTTTTTCACTATTACAGACCATTGTTATGACGAACGAAGTCGTAATGACTGATTATCGTTGTTAAATTTTCACACACCGCCTTAATGAGTATCAAGTGTGAGTTTGGGGGCGAACCTTGAGAAAATACTCCTCGTTAACGCGCAAAGATTCCACCGCGCCCCCGCCCCCCAAGGCTTCCCATGCCGCACCTTAGAGACGTCTCTGTGCCCCGGAGCCCACACCCTCGCTGGCTGTCTCCCCACCCCCATCGGCTTCCCCGAGGCCCTCCGTGGCTGTCTCCATGTCCCCGTGGGCGTCTCCATGTCCCTCCGTGGCCCCGTGGGCGCCGACGTCCCTCCTTCCCCCCGCCGCCCAGAACACAGACGCCGCCCTGCTGCCCTGCATCAGCTACCCCGCCTTCGCCCTGGACGACGAGGCGCTGTTCATGCAGACGCTCGACAAGGTGGTCCGGAAACTTAAAGGAAAGTACGGATTCAAGCGCTTCTTGAGAGACGGGTACCGCACGTCCTTGGAAGACCCCAACAGACGCTACTACAAGCCGGCTGAGATCAAGGTACGGCGACAACACCCCGCGCGGCCCCAGCGCCCATGGGGGAGGGGCGGCCTCCCCGGGTGCGCGCCCCGGCTCTGCCGCCTCGCGGCCGTGGGCAGCTGCGTCAGCCCCTCCGTGGGCCGCGCTCCCCGCTGGCGGGAGGACGGTGCGCGCCGCCCTTGGCCTTGCTGCCGGGGCCCCGCGCGGGTGGGATGGGCTGACCGGCGTGAGCGTGCGCAGGGCGGACACCAGCACGCGACAGCGGGACACACGCGGGGAGGGCAGCTTCCGCGACGGTTTGCTCGCACTGGCACGCCTCCCTGTGCAAGGTGGCCCTGAATACCGAGTCTGACGTGTTCCGTATTCCCAGGACACGTGCGTAGCGCTGTATCTGGATTTATACTGGCTGATTTTAAAAATATTTTATTTATTTAATTTTTGAGAGTGGGGAGGGAGAAAGAGGGAGAAACATCAGTGTGCGAGAGAATCCACCGGTTGCCTCTTTCACGCCCCCACCTGGGGACCTGGCCCACAACCCAGGCCCGTGCCCCGACTGGGAATCGAACCGGCAGCAGCTCAATCCACGGAGCCACGCCAGCCATGGCCAGATTTACCTAGCTGATTTTAAGCTGTGCGGAAAGCTGTCCAGCCCAAGAAGGCCAGCACCCCTCCACAGTGCTGAAGAGTTGCTTTAGCGGGCAGACCGCAGGTCGTGAGCACGGTCACAGCTGTGGCTCGCTCGCTGAGGACAGGTGCGGTCTCGTGAACCTCTGTGCCAATAGTCCACCCTCCGGTGCCCAGGGCAGATCCTACAACGAGGAGTTATTTGGCCCACAGTGTCCCCAGTGCTGAGGCTGGGAGACCGCGGTGCAGACCAGCAGGCCGTCACCGTGGTCGCCCCCAGCGGCCTGCCAGCGGGAGCTCCATTGCCCTGAACCCCCGTCCGCACTCCCCACTGTCCGTCTCGCAGGTCGGTCTAAGGAGCAAACGCCACCCGGCCCGGGACTCACCAGCGCGTCCAGACCACAGCCTCCTCCTGCGGCTCCCCAGGCCCTTCCCGATGTGGCTGGCCCGGCCCCCTCGCTGGGTTTCCGCTCTCACCGTCCTTCCTTGCCCCCCACCCCTGGACCCCGGGCTCACTGTCAGCCCCTTCGACAGACTCTGTGCCGCGAGTCTGCCGTTTGCACGGCCGTGAGGTTCCCTCGGCGCGTCTCCCTGGATGAATCTGTCCGGCATTACTTAGGGTCTCTCCCTTCTCATACATCCTTCTCGGACCCTGGACCGAGACGCCGGGGTCCTCTCCCCGTGTTCCTGATGTCCCGTGCACGGACACTGCAGAAGGGGCGGCAGCTGGTTCCTCCCGGGCCCGCCCCCGCAGGGGGGCTGGGGGCCTCCAGGGCGGGCGCCCCGGGAGCCTTGGGAACCCCCTGTCTCCCGACGCGGGCCGTTGCCGCGTTCTTAGTGATGTTTACTGAAGGAGTGCGTGCTGGGTTAAACAGATGAGCCCTCGCATAATGAGGTGTGAGAATTTTTTATTAAGGAACAATGAAACTGCTTATGAAATCAGTCCCATTTTGTTACTAGCACAGATACATATTTTTGTATATCCTGACTGTCATTGTTCTCATGAATGTGTATTTCTAACTAACACAATTGTTCCGATGAATCGCTCATGAAGTGTTTAACATTCTGTTTTCTGTTTCAGCTGTTTGACGGCATTGAATGTGAATTTCCCATATTTTTCCTGTACATGGTGATCGACGGTGAGTGAGTGCGTCTCCCGAAACCTGCGCTTCCGGGCGGGCGCGTGAAGAGGGCGGAGGTGACGTCTGACTCGGCCCCGGAGGCCGCCCTGGCCTCGGTCACTCCTCTGCGTCCTCACACGCTTTCCCGCTGTCTGACTGCACGCTAAATCGTTTAAGGCATCGAGAATACAAATTGGAGTTGTTTTTAAAATGGCACAGCTACCTTTTCATGTCGACAAAGCAGACTTTTCAGTGCGTAGGACCCATGAATGCTAATTTAATCTGCGACGTTGCGAACACCGCTAACATTTATATCGACGAACAGAGACATTTCAATTAAAATGCAGCTCTCAGTTCTAAATGCTAACGTGACCTTCTAAAATTGATTTCCTGGAAAAACATCACGCATTCTCATTAGCTTTTTTCCATTTTATTTTTATCGTTTATGTAGAAAATTACCAAAATAATTACAACGGGGCTGATAGATTTTTCCACGGTAAAAATTTCTTTGGGCTCAGATGCCATTGGACTTTCCCTTTTACGTTTTAGGCGTCTTCAGAGGCGACTCCCGACAAGTGCAGGAGTACCAGGGCCTCCTGGCCCCCGTGCTTCATCAGACCGCGGAAGGTACGGTCGGCTCGCTTTTCCAAGAAGTTTTTCCCACCAATGTTTCCTCAGTGTTCCTCCGAAACGTACAAATGATTCCTTTGAAGCAGAGCAGTTTATAGTCAATTGAAAAAAAAAAGTGAGTGGCCCTTGAATAAATCAGAAAGAATGGCTGTTCATTTGTCGCAGTAAACTTGTTTTTGCGAAAGGGGTTCCTCTGGCAGGACGGGTGGTGAGGCGCTGGGGCGGCCGTGGCCCCAGTGACCGGCTGCCCCTCCTCGCCTCTCCGAGGCACGACAGCACGGGAAGTGGCCGGCTGTCCCCCAGGTCACCAGCAGCGCCGCGTCCCGGCGAGTGCAGCCCCCAGGGCCCCCAGAGGCCGTGCCCGAGCCTGCAGGTGTGGCCCGCTGCTGGAGCCGCCCGGCCTCCTCCTCCTGGGGGCGGCTCCCAGGGCTTCGGAGCGCTGTTTCCAGTGCCACAGGCCGAACCCCCACCCCCAGGCGGGATTTGGTGTTTCGGGGGGCAGGGTCAGAAGGCCCAGTCCAGCGAGCAGCACCCTGGCTTCCGTTCGGTACCCGCCAGCAGGGCCCAAAGGAGAACGCACCTGGTTTTCCTGGGCGACGCTGCCGCCGCTGTCAGAGGGCCTGGGAGAGGTCCCAGGAGTCTTTGGTGTGTGGGACTGTCCGCAGATAGGACCGCGTTCCCCGGGGCGCCCCGCTCTGAGAGCGCCCCTGTGGGGAAGGACGGACGGGGAAGACTGCGGGGGCCGGGGCCAGCGGCTGGTCTCGTGGACCCGGGACGGCACCGGCCCCTCCGGTCGCGGGTGGGGTCTGTCGTTTCCCTTTGGTGCTTTCCTCCGTGGAGGGTCCCGGCCTCAGCGTGTCACACCCGTGCTCAGCCTTTGACGTACCCGCGAGAGCCGTGAGACGCTCATGGGCGGACTGAACTCCGAGTTTAAGTCGATGTTCAAGCCGGTCCCTTACGTCTCACGCCCCGGAGAGCCGCTGCCCCGTGAGAGAGGCGACCCAGTGCGTGTCATGACCCGTGTGACTCTCGCCGTCCCGGGTCGGACCGTGAGGCGTGCGGGCGGCGGGCTGCCGTGCCGGCGGCGGGGGTGCGAGCCTCGGTGCGGGCGTGGGCGCGGCCGGGGTGCTGCCCGCACGGTTCCCTCCCAACACGGACTCCCCGTGGGTGTGAGGTGCAGACGCCGCCGTCGGCTGACGCGCGGCGAAGGAGGGGTTGTGAAGAACCTGCACAGCTTTACTTTTGAAAACCTGTTTCCCGTGGGCTGGTGCTACAGAAAGTCCTAGAATGTTGTTGTTTTGCTCTTTATACTGTCCACCAAGACTCTAGTCTTTAAACAATAATGTAGTTTCTACTAAGGAAGTGGGTGGGTCACAGGGGCAGGCGGGTTCTTCTCTGCAGTGCTGATGGCACATGGCGGCCGGTGGGCTCAGTGTTTGGATGGGGGGATTCCTTCGCTCCGCCCAGCAGCTAGGGTGGGGGCTTTCCGTTTAGGGTGACCCCCGACCCTCGTCTGGGAGGCTCCCACGGCCGAGCCCTGCCGTGCACAGCGGCTGCCATGTCCCCGAATATTTGCTCATGATCTCAGTCTCTGTTGGCTCGCCCAAGGGAGCAGAAACAAGCGCCACCGAAGGGGACTGCGGGCGGTGGCTGGTGCGGAGTGCACGCTGTCCGATGTCAGACCGCGGTGCAGGGTCGAGAAGCTCCTTCCACGGCACCCCTGGCAGCTTCCGAGGGGGCCGCGGCACTCCGTCCTATGCGGCCCCCCTCGGAGCCCTGGCGCTAGCTCCTGGGGGCCACTCCACCTCCCCCCACCCCCCTACCCTGCTCTCTGCTCACCGCACGTCCTCGTGGGGGGAGGGGGAGGCCGTGGCCGCGGGGAGGGCGCTGCCCGCCGGGCTCTAACCGCCTCTGTCCCGCCGCCGCAGGCCACCCGGTCGTGCCCAAGTACTACTACGTGCCCGCGGACTTCGTGGAGCTTGAGAAGCGGAGCCCTGGCAGCCAGAAGCGCTTCCCCAGCAACTGCGGCCGCGACGGGAAGCTGTTTCTCTGGGGGCAGGCCCTTTATGTCATCGCCCAGCTCCTGGGTAAGTGGGGAGACCCCGGCCCGTGGGAGCCCGTCCCTGCCGACGTTTTTCTTGGACGTGGGCGGAGCGCAAGCCGCCGAGGGTCCCGGGGGAGTTTCTGGGCCCAGAAAGGCCCAGAAATATGCCTGTCTCGCTGGAGGTGACGGATGGTTTCTGGGACGACAGTCAGACGGGCTCGGGGTCCGCCGCGGTCACGCGGGGCCGCCTGTGGCTCGGGGGGCGGGTCTGCAGCAGGAGGCCGCAGGCGCCTGGGTTCGCTCCCACTCGCTGCGACAAAACTCCGGTTCGGTCTAACGGTCGTGTTCGGTCAGGGCTTCAGTAAACCACTTGCCCAGAGGAACTGCTGATCTCTAAGTTCTCTCCTTCCCAATAAATACACCGCGGGTTTGCTTGGCCGGGTGCTAAATGGGACCATTATTCACAGTCCTCTGAGGAGGTGTTTTTCAGCTGCTCCGAACGCTTCGGCCGGCAATGCAGACTCTGGCCCCCCCGGAAATGAGGGCTGATGCAGTGACACAGGAGAGAGGGCCGGGCGTCTCGCTGCACCGCGCCCTGCTACAATTTCAACTACTATTAGCATTTGCATCAGAAAGGCCGTCGTCCTGTGAGAGCCGGGATGCTTTCACGCTAACAGATCATGAGCCGGGCGGGCGCAGACACCACCTGCGCGGCGGGGGCAGCCGCTGGCTGTGTGGAGCGCCGTGTCCTCTTTGTTGTTCCGGGGCCGCGGCGTGCACACGGCGCGTGTCTGTGCCGTGGGAGAGAGCGTCTTGGGTTTCTTTGTCTGCGTTCCGTTTGGGCAGAATACTTCAAAGTCCAGGTTTCCCGTTCAAGCTTCCCACAAATAATATAGAACAGCAAATAGAAGCTAATGCAAGAGAAGAGAATTAAGTCAATGCTGTTTTTAAAACTTCTCATTTCCTGGCCGCATTTTCCAGGTCTCCACATGAACTTTTAATGCCCATTTAAGAACCTGTAGAAGAATTTCCTTTCATCAAATGGACAGCTTTTGATAAGGAGTTCGTGTTATTTATGCAGAATTTGCTTTCATGTTTTCCAAAGGAGAGAAAAATACATACCTAAATTAGTTTTCTTAGCATGGAGCCCAGGTCGGTAAGGTTATCTCTGGTGAGAATGTTATTTTTCTCTCTCTAGCAGGAGCACAAAGAAATCTTATTGATACTCAGAGCTAAATAAAAATTTTAGGAAAGAAGTAGCTAAGCCGTGTAAGGACAAGAATCTTAATGCCAGGCTCATGAATTTCTATGCACTGGCGCTCTGCTTGGAAATTACAAATGAGCAGGAGGAAAATCTGTGATTCTGAGGCTGGAAGCCGGTCCCCGGGAGAAGAGACCTGAGGCCTAACCCTCCCTCGGGCGTTCTGCCGCCCGTCCCGCCCGAGGGGGGTCGGCCGGACCGAGCGCTGTGTGGGTGAAGTCTCCGGGGGAGGCGGGGGGCTGAGAAGGCTAATGAGCTGGGGGTGCGGAGTCAGCCCCCCTCGGCATCAGCACGCTGAGCTTTAAAAAAAAAAGGGAGGTTGAAAGCAGTATGGGTCAGTAAAAAAAAGCACTGGCCCCCTCCTCGCGCCCAAGTCAGTGTGCTGAACGTGCGGAGATGCTCAGCACGAGGAGCCTTTTCCTGTGTGAAGACCCCAGTGGACAGAAACGGCCCAGGTCGTGCTTGAATCTCTGTCTCATGGTCACAAAGAAGACGGCTTCAGAGGGGAAGCTGTGTCTCTCTTCTCCGCCGAGCTCCTGACAAGGCCGCGGAGGACACGCAGAAGGTGCTGCACGCACGCCGTGAAGCCGCGCCCCCGCCCGCCCCGGGAGGGAGAGGCGCAGCACAGCCCCCAGCACCCGGGCCCAGCAGCGGCCCCCGGCTCCTGGCCCCCTGGTGTGCACCCCTCCCCCCCCAGCTCAGGAGGATGGGGGTCTCAGGAGGCGGAGTCCTCCAGCTGCTCGTAACCACCAGGCACCTGACCCCACCACCACCGGGCTTCTGGGGGGGTTACTGAGGTTCCAGAGGCGACCACGTTGACGGGCAAAGTCTCTTGGGCTCGTGAGGGGAGCCTGGGCTGGACAGTTGTCTGACAGTGTTTTCTGGATGCTTAGTTAGAGTTACGTGACAATAATAGAACCGTAAACTCTTTCAAAATACGCTGCGGTCGTGTGTGGCTCTCACCGATTCCTGCGAGCTGGCGTCCAGGGAAACCCGACTGGGCTCCCTTGCTCTCTGCGCGCCCTCCCGAGTGACCACACACCAGAGACCACGTGGCTGTCACTCCTTGGTCGGGGCGGAAAGGCCCAACACGGTGCGACCTTTCCTGGCCAAGGCCTCGACTGCCCACTCTGCCGTCAGAAAGCACTTAATTATCACTGCGTGTTTCTTTCTTTAGAAAGATTAGGCTTTGAGAAAATCAGCGTTTCCTGTAAAATAGGTGACTAAATTTGAGACGTGTCCATTTGAAACCGGGTGTGACAGATTTTAAGACACATTTGACTTGTCTTCGAATAAAAGGAGCGTTCGCTGCCCTGCTGTTAAATGCGGAGGTTCAGAAACTCCCTGTGTGGGAGACGCAGTGTGTCAGTGAGGGTCCCCAGGCAGAAATGGCCGTGAAAGTGTTTAGCCCATAAAACTCACTGGAGAATTATCTCTGGACAGAATGCTTCGTGGTTAAGAAAACTAGAGATATATAAGATAACATAAGATTAATGATAATTTGCAACATCACCAAAACCATTACTTAAGTTGAATGACATAGTTTCTTATTCAATATTTTTTAAAGAGAGGAGCTAGTGTGTCTGTCGTCTAGCTTTCCAGGAAGTCTGACTCCCAGGCGTCCCAGCACGTTGGCGGCAGTCCTCCCCTCGGACGCCGGACGCTGGCCGGGCGACCTCCGTGGAGGTGCTGCCGGCGGAGCGCGGCTCACCGCAGACCCGAGCGTGCACGGCCGTGGGCGGCTGGGGAACTCGTTCAGGAAGGGCGCGCTGCAGGCACCGTTAGCGAGCGTCGGGAGCTGAGACGAAGCACGCTCTTTGAGGAAGGCCGAGTTACTGAACAATTTAATTAACTGCAACTTCCCAGCACACACAAACTCCCAAAATGCCAGGTGCATGAGGATTTCCTTGACTTCACAAGTGACTCTTTTTTTCTCTTTGCCATAGCATTTTTTAATTTCCTAGGGGTGTTAACAAGAGACTTTTAAGATGAAAAAATGTAGAAGGGCATGACATTATCCCAAATGCCATGGTGCGCGTGTACAGAGACACGCACACGGTGCTGGGCTTGACGCCCCGCCACCTCCCCCCTCCCCACCTCCGCTCCCAGCACCGGCGCCCCCCGCTCTGCACCCCCCCACCCCCTCGCTGAGGGCCAGCGCGGCCTGGAGCCCCTACCCTGCGAGATGCCTGCCGAGCCACCAGGGTGTCGTCCCCTGTAATTTTGGTGCCCTGACAAGAACTCACTTGCTCTGTTAAATGTTTTGTAAGTTGTTTCACTAAAGAAACAAAAACTCTTAAAACATCCCTTTTAGCCTCGACGATTGCTGTCTGGGCGACGCGCAGGGTGTATCTCATAAACTCTCTGCTTACAGCAAACACCGACGGCCCAGTGTGCCCTCTGAGGGAGGGAAGGCGGCGGCCGTGTTCGCGGAGCGCGTGCTGGTCCGCGAGGCGAGGTCCCGTGCGCGGGGACGTGCCGAACGCCGTCCTCCGCTGTCCCCGCTCCGCGCGCCGCAGCCGCTGGGCGGGCCATCGGGGGTCCCTCCTCTCAGGCTCGTCCCGCTGCACCCGCGGGCCAGTGCCGCGCACGTGGCGCCGCGGGCACCGCTGTTTTGCTTCCCGGACGGTGAAAGTCGATGTGAGGAGAAAACAAGACAAGACTCCTGACCTGACCTGTGAAGGTCACGGTTACCCTCATGGACGTGAAGGCAGTGATTACAGCACCGAATGTTTCTGAACGTGCTCACCCCCCCCCCGCCCCCGCCCTCATTTCATGATTTCATTAAGTCGCTCGAGTGCCTACTACGTGCAGCTGGGGAGCAGCCACCAGTGAGTCACCTGCCTCCCCGCTGGGTCCCTGTGTCGTCCCCCCCCACCCCCCCCGCCCCGCCCCGCCCCGCCCCGCCCCGCCCTGCACTTCGGGCTGGGTGGGCGGAGCCAGACAAGGAGTGGGGGAGGGGAAAGTGCGGAGAAGCTTTTTCACGAGGCTTCGCCCACTGTTTCATTCGTATGAACTTTAATAGGTTAACATTTGCGCTTTCTAAGGATATGATGTTTCTTAATTTATCTGTCACCGCTTATAAATAACAAAATAATAAAGGGAGAACTTCATTTCTGCAGCATACGACAGTGAAACATTAATTATGTAAAACGCTCCTTGGCGGCGTGGAAATTGCTCCACATCCCAGTGAGCAGACAGATGAGGCAGGGAAACAATTTGCTGCTGCTTAAAATATCACTGTACTCATCAACCCGGCATTACGAGCTAAACCGGTATTAATAAATTGAAATTACAGGTCGTTATTTGCCATAGTTAAGCCTATATTGGTTCAGTTCAAATTTTGCAAAAGTATATTCTTTCCGGGGCGAGAGAAGAGCGTCCTGCGATGCGCTCCCGGCCCCGGGCGGGAGAACCGGGCCCGGCAGGTCTGGGGGGCGTGGCGTGTCCTCCCGCCCCGCCCCTGGCGCGGAGAGTGCCCTTGGCGCAGCGTTCTCCAGGGGCCAGGGCCGTGCGCGGGAGGGAGCCCCGCCCCCGGGAGAGCGAGCCCGCCTGCGTCTGACGCCGAGCTCTGCCACCCCCCGGCCGGCGTGCCAGGTGTGTGACCACTGGCACCTTCACTCCGCCGTCCGCGAAACGAGGCCGAGGCGTGGGGGTTGTTAGTGAATTCGCACACGTGCAATGCGCGGGCAGTGCCAGGAACGCAGTAACTGCTGTGCGGGCGTTGATGCGTGGTGACTTCCGTGGCGGCCGCCGCCGCCGCCGCCGCTCCTTGTCCTTGTTGTTCTGTTGTTCACACCACTTTTGTTGTTATTAAAACAACGGCATTAAATCCAGTCGCTCCCGGCAGTCACCGACAACTCCGCTGGTGGTTTCGTCTGGCGGCTGCCGCTGCCGGCGTGCCTGGAGGTTACCCCAGGCCAGAGACGGGGGAGGAGCGCTCCCCCGTGTTTCTGAGTCACTCGCCGCCTGAACGTGGTGCCTGCGGAGCTGCGGACCCCGGGTGATCTCGGAGGGACCGGCAGCGCCGTGCCGGTGTCCCGTGGTCAGTGCAGAGCTGAGGTCAGGAGTGGAATGCCACACTTGCACAGCTGCCCGGCGTACAAGGAGGGCACGTGCTGACTCACTCCGGGAGGAGTTGGGGTCCCCCCCACCCCACTGCCCACACGCGGGGTCGCCCTCCCGCTGCGGCCTGGCCTCCATCGGAAGTTGCCACCAGGAGCGGCCTCGTGGGAAGGCTCTGCGCTCCCAGCAGCCGTTGAAGTCCCTGCCCCACGCCGGCCCGGGCCCCCAGCAACAGCCCGCCCAGAACCCCCCGTAGAATTTGGCACCAGGAAGCACTCTGCCTCCTTTACGAGCCGCTCTCTCCCCTGGGGAGGCACAGGCGTTCTTTTTAGATTGGCTCTGGGGGTGTGATGTGCGCACCTCGCGTGCTCACCCCGGGGGCGCGACCCAGGCGCGCTGGGTGCTCGCAGAGGTGGCCGTGCGACTCTCGGTGCGGTTCTAGAGTGCCCCCTGCACCCCCGGCAACCTCACGCTAACCAGCCGTCAGCACCCACCCCCCCAGGCACTTCCCTGCCCCCCAGCACCAGGCGACCATCCACCCACTTCCCACTGTCACGGGCGCGCCCCCGCTGACGTGTCGGCTCCTGGGGGCCCGCATGTGCGGCCCCCGGTGACTGTGTTCAGGGTTCGTCAGCACTGCGAGCCCTTTACGGCAGAGTGACAGCCCCTCGTGTGCGTGTGCAGAGCACGCCTGCCGTGTCCGCCCGGCTCCTGTCCGCTCGTCCGCTGTTACGGGCAGCACTGCGACGGACGCTCACGCACAGTGTGCGGCGGACGCGTCTCCAGTTCTCTCGGGCACGTGTCCGGAGCTCAGACTGCCGGGCTGTCCCGGCACTGAGTGTGAGACGCTGTTCTTTCCCCCGATGGGTTGCTTTGACACCCTTGTCAGACACCAGCTGACCGTGAACGTAAGGGTTCATACCCGGACCCTCAGCCTTGGTCCATGGATTTCCATCTTCATGCCAGTCCCACGCTGTCTTAACTGCTGTGGCTTCTTCCTTTTAACCCAGAAGCCTTTTGTCACTTTTCCTTGCCTCATTTATCCGCCGGGGCCTCCAGCACAGCGTCCAGCAGAAGTGGCAGGATCAGACAGCATTGTCGTCCTCTTGCTCGTCTTCGGGGCAAAGCGTTCGGCGTTTCCTTCCTGCTTCCCTCCCTCCTTCCTTCCCTCCCTCCTTCCTTCCTTCCCCCCTACCTTCCTTCCCCCTCCCTCCCTCCCTCCCTCCCTCCCTCCCTTCCTTCCTTCCCCCCCCCTCCTTTCCTTCCCTCCCTCCCTCCCTCCCTCCCTTCCTTCCTTCCTTCCTTCCCTCCCTCCCTCCCTCCCTTCCTTCCTTCCCCCCTCCCTCCCTCCCTTCCTTCCTTCCCTCCTTCCTTCCCCCTCCCTCCCTCCCTCCCTTCCTTCCTTCCTTCCTCCTTCCCTCCTTCCTCTCCTTCCCTCCTTCCTTCCCCCCTCCCTCCTTCCTTCCCCCCCTCCCTCCCTCCCTTCCTTCCTTCCCTCCCTCCCTCCCTCCCTCCCTCCTTCCTTCCTTCCTTCCCTCCCTCCCTTCCTTCCTTCCCCCCTCCCTCCCTCCCTTCCTTCCCCCCTCCCTCCCTTCCTTCCTTCCCTCCCTCCCTCCCTTCCTTCCTTCCCCCCTCCCTCCCTTCCTTCCTTCCTTCCTTCCCTCCTTCCTTCCCCCCTCCCTCCCTCCCTTCCCTCCTTCCTCTCCCTTCCTTCCTTCCTTCCTTCCCTCCTTCCTTCCCCCTCCCTTCCTTCCTTCCTTCCCTCCCTCCTTCCTTCCCTCCTTCTTTCCCTCCCTCCTTCCTCCCTCCCTCCCTCCCTTCCGTATGACATTAGCCATGCTTTTCCACGGATGCCCTTTATCGGGCTGAGCAGGTTCCCTCCTGCCCTCGTGTGTTAAGGCGTTCCTCACGAAAGGGGGGTGGATTCCGTCCGGTGTGTTTTCGGTGTCTGCTGAGACGACCCCGCAGTTAGGGCGTCCTCCTTCCTGTCGAGGTGGTGCCTCACAGTCATCGGTTTCGGGGGTGTGGAGCCATCCTTGCTTTCGTGGGCTGAGTCCCACTCGGTCACGGTGTGTAATCCTGTTTATATGCTGTCAGACTTTGCTGGCGTTTCTGTTGAGGGTTTTTGTGTCTCTGTCCGGAAGGGATGTCGTTCTGTAATTTCCTCGTCGTCTCTGATTTTGGTGTCAGGGTAACACCGGCCTCTTAGAACGACTTGGGAGGTGTTTCCCCCACCGTTTTTGGGGAAAGTTGGTGAAAGATTGGTTTTAATTCTTTAGCTGTTTGGTGGAATTCACCTATGAAACAATCTGTCCTAGGTTTCTTTCTTTTTAATGGGAAATTTTAATCACTTTTTACAAATCCGTTCAGATTTTGCATGCCCTCTTGAGTCCCTTTTTGTGCTGTGTGTCTGTCCAGGCGTCTGTCCGCGTCCAGCCGGGCCGTCTGAATGACTGGCACACGTTTGACGTGGTATTTACTCCCTTACGGTCCGGGGGGCGTGAGCAGTGTTGCCACTTCCATCCCTGGTTCGGTAACTCACGCCTGCTGTCTGAGTCCCTCGGGCAGTTTAGTTAAAGGGGTGTCAACTTCTGGTCTTTCCAAACGCTACTTTTGGTTTCATTTATATTCCCTATTGTTTATTTATACTCTATTTCATCAATTTCCTCTGTAATGTATTATTTCTCCTGCTTGCTTTTGACTCAGTTAGCCTTTCCATCCTCTGTCGTAAAGTGGGAGGAGAGTTCACTGATTTGAGGTGGTTCTTCTGTTTTAAAGCAGGCATTTAGAGCTACGAATTTCCCTCCGAATGTTGCTTTAGCTGCGTCTGATAAGCTGTGGTATAGCGTGTCTTCGTTTCTAATCATCTCGTCAGCAAGTACATTAGAAATTATTTTTTAATTTCCCCTTTGTTTTTTTCCTCGACCCATCTGTTATTTAGGAGTATGTTTTTTAATTGCCACATACTTGTTACTGATTTCTAACCTCGTTTTGCCGTGGTCGGGGAGCAGACCTTGTGTGATGTCACTCCCTTTAAGCCCGCCACCTGGGAGCTGCGCCCCGTGTGCCGAGGAGGAGGCAGGTTCCGCTCCCGGCGGCAGAGCGTTCTGGAAAGGTCCGTGGGCTTCGTGGGTCCCCAGTGTCGCCCGGCCGCGTGGCGGGTGACGCGCTCTCCCTTTCTTCCAGCGGACGAGCTGATCAGCCCCAAGGACCTGGACCCCGTCCGGCGGCACGTCCCGCTGCAGGACCGGCGCAACGTGAGCATGCGGTTCTCCAACCAGGTAGGGCGTCCCCGCCGGGGCCCTCGCCCGCAGGCCCCCGCGGCCCGTTCGAGGAGGAGCTTTTATCCGGGACGGGGTTTCCGTGGCTCCTGCTGAGGGCGAGCCCTCTCTCGTCCGGCTCGTCGAGATTTGTGTGTGCGCCAGCCACACGTCACGGTTTAAAAAGTGCCGCGGTGGGGGCTCCCTCCCTGTGAGTGGGGAGTGTGGGCCCACCGCGTCCGACAGACAGGGCGTCTGCGGGTGGGCGTGGTCCCCCTGGCGGTCACGGTCAAGGTGCCAGGGGTGCGTGAGGAGCTGCGGTGTGTGGGGCGTGGAGGGCGGATGAGTCGGGCTGTTACTGGAGGGAGCGGGCCCGTGAGCGGCCCTGCGCTCACTGTCCCTCCAGGGCGGAGTCTCCCTGACAGGACGGGGCGGGGGGGGATGGGGGGTGGACGGCGGGGGGAGGGTGACATGTTAGGGGAGGAACAGTGCGCATTTTACCACACACTCAGTCCTACGACTCAGACTGCGTGGGTCAGCAGGATGCGTGTTGGCAGGATCGGCGAGACCGATGTCCTCCTGAGAACAACCCTCACTGCTCCACGGCCGCAGCCAGGAATCCCGCTGACGGGGGACACGCCACGGGCGGGGAAACCGCCCGAGGAGGGAGGGAGGGAGGGGGCCCGAGTGTGGGCCGGGGCTGCCGGCCGGGGACGCGGCTCCCCGGGACCAGCAGGCGTCGGCACTCGCAGAAGACGGGCTCCCGAAATTTAAACGCTCCTTGTATATAAGAAAGCGCTTATGTGCAGACGCCGCACACACAGAAACGCTCGCTCTGACGAGAGGAAGGGAGAGCCCCGCAGACCCATCGGGCCCTCCCGTCACGCCCCCCCGATGGTCTGCCGCAAAACGTAACGGCTCCGAGCGCTCCAGAGGCCAGAAGCTATTTGGGAGACTCTTAAGTAACGTTCAGATAAACCTCGACGTTTAAACGAATGTTAAGGTTTTCTCAGGAATACGATCCCCCGTGTTAGCACACGACGGAGTTTCCATTGGGCCTGAGCCGGCACCTGTGTCCGTGCAGGGCCGTGTCCTCGCCGGGGCGGGGGTCCCGCCGACGCGGGGAAGGGGTCTTCGGGGAGGGGGAGCCAGCACCGCATTGTCGGCGGGTGTGGCGGTGGAGAGGTTCGACTTTGAGGCAGTGGTTCCCGAAGGCTGCCCGCCCGGTCGTCAGAGGAAGAGCCCGGCAGAGGCAGAAATGTGTCAGAGCAGCTCGCCCGCCGGCAGCCTGGGCGAGGTCTGCAGGCGTTTCTGCGGCCGGCCCACCCGCCCGGGGCGTCCTGTCGCCGGGTCGGGTCTGGGAGTGTAGTCCTCAGGTGTGGCTGCCGTGGGCCAGGCCCCCGGTGACCTCGGAGCGGTCGTGGCGGAGGGTGTGACCGGAAGCCGGAGTGCAGGGAGTCAGAGCGCCCGCTGGGGGGGGACCAGCTGCTCACACAGCGAGCCCACGGGGCCCCGGGCCCTCCCAGTGTGGCTCATCCCTCGGGGAGCGCTCCTGCAGCCGGGGGCTCGTCCCTGGGCCCCCCATCCTCGTTTCTCAGCTCCGCACCGTCTCCAGGGTCGGTCAGTCGCAGTGACTTAGAGGAACTTTGCGCGAGGCCCAGTGTTATTTGGCTCGCTTCATTCTGATGCCCTCCAGTAGTTGAACCAAGTCGAGACAATTCCTACTTAAAGGATTAAAAAAACTTCACTCGCTTGGCAAGGAAAGAATTTGTATGGGACCAAGGAGCCTAATTTATCCGCAAGCGTGGGGGTGAACCGAGCGCTGAGCAGATCTTACGGCTGTCAGAGTGGGACCGAGTGAGACAGCCCAGGCATCGGGAATGCGTCCGGAGGCCCGGCCTCCGCCGCCGCAGCCGCGCGGCGGCTCTCTCTTCCCAGGAGACGGCGGTCAGTCTGCGGGGAAGCGAGGTTCCTGTCGGAGCTGGAGACCGGGAATTAAATACCGTGATCAACAACACCCAGAGCGGAGGAAAGCTAAGTGGGAAGTTGAAAAGAACGAGCTCAGACACATTCAGTAGCATCGTTCCAATGCACGCACCGAACTCCCTGAAATGGAAAGTCCCGGCAGCAGGCCTGAGAGAGAGCGGAGCCCTCTGCCTGCCCGACCAAGACTTCTCACGGTCGGGGCCGGGGTTCAGGGTCGGGGCCGGGGTTCACGGGCAGGGCCGGGCTCACAGGGCTCCGCGGGGCCCTTCTGCCGCCTTCCGGTTTGCGCTGGGTCTCCAGCTGCTGCGCCCGGCGAACTGTTCTCGTCCCATATCCGCCTCGGTTCTTCGAGACGGGGACCGGTGTCACGTTCCCTGCCGAGAGGGAGTGTTGGCGACCACCCAGTGTCCGTGGAAACGCACACGCGTCCCCGAGATGAGTGACGACATAGCCTGTAAGACGGCCCTGCAGCCGTTAGAAAGTGAGGTGAAGTCATCCGGGGAACACTTTTATGTGATGATACGCACGTGTGTGGAAACTTGCCCGTCGCCCGTCTGTCCTGGCGGACTCCAGGAGAGTCTCCTCAAGGAGGGACACGGGGCCACCGTCACCCTGCGACGTCAGGGTCTGTCAGGAGCCGTGTGGGTGAGCGTGCCTCCCCCAGTGGCCAAGTGAATCGGCACACGCGTGTGCGTGCAGCGGAGGGCACGCGCACCCCACGGGGCTCGAGGAGCGTGTGTGCCTGTGGATGCACGTGTGTGTGTGTGCGTGTGTGCGTGTGCTTTGTGATCCTGAAAGCAGAAACTGTTACTAGGGGAAGCGCCATTCAGAAACGTAGGGCATCATTAACGCGCGGGCGTTTTCGGGAGGCTCCGTGGGTGCAGACAGCTGTGTTCGCGCGGTGAGGCTCAGGGGGGTGAAGAGGAGAGACGCCCCGGACCCCGTCCGAGGCGGGGGCTGTTGGGGTGGGGCTGCCCCTGCGGCGGGTTCCGTGCGCGACACACGGGGGAGGCCCAGCGGCCTGCGCCCAGCGAGCACAGCCGGGACGGCGTGGTCGCCAGGGCAGCCCCTCCTCTCCTGCGGGGGCCGCGTGCCAGACCGAGGCTCCTCTGAGGCCTGAGGTGACAGATGGCAACTGGTCGCAAGGAAGGGAGTAGACTTCGATGCAGTTAAGGCGTCAGATGAGTAATTGGAAGTCACAATCATTTTTTAACAGAGAATGGGAAAATCGGGTTTTTATTTTTAGCTCCTTCCTCTTCCCTCCCGAGTGAAATGATGGAGGTGGGCCCCCAGTCCCCGAACCGCTCTTGCGCGTCATCCAGAAGAGCAGGCCGGCCGCGCCGGCCGCGGCGTGATGCGTGCCCCCCGCCCCCCGGGGTCCGTGACTCTGCCCGCACCCTCAGGTGGTCGGTGGGCAGCGGGGAGCAGGGAGCGGAGGTCCTGTCCTCGTAGTGAGCCGCTCGCGGACGGCAAACGTTGTCCCTGGCCCCGCGGCCACCGCCGAGGACGGGGCCTCCTGAAACCGCCCCCTCCCCGCCCCCTCTGCGTTGCAGGGCCCGCTGGACAACGACCTGGTCGTCCACGTCGCACTCGTAGCAGAAAGCCAGCGGTACGCAGTCCGGGGGTCCCAGGCAGGCCGGCCGCTCTGTGCTCTGGGTGCTGAGTGTGGTGGCCGAGACTCGGCTCATGGGCCCCTGGGCAGGGCGTGGGGACGTCACGCGTGTCGCTGCGAGTGCCGGGGCAGCACCCTTCCCGTGTTTCCCAGCGGCCTTGCCGCAGTGGTGTCTGTGTGAGAGACCGTGCCCCGTGCCCTGAGTCCCCGTGCAGGGGCGCAGTGCTGGGACCTGAGTCCGGGGGGTGGGGATTCCCTGCCTGTCCTGTCGCCGGTCCCCAGAGCACCCCCCTCCATGCCCTGTTCTCAAAGAGCCCCAAGGGCCTCTGGCCCCCCGCGCAGGTCGCTGTAATCCCGGGTTCCGAGTCGGCGCGGCTCCTTCCTGCCCTCCACCGTCTCCAAGCCGGGCGGGGGGCGCCATCTCAGAGGGTCCCCCCAACCCCCCCCGTCCGTCTCCGCCCCGCAGCCTGCAGGTCTTCCTCAACACCTACGGCATCCAGACGCAGACGCCGCAGCAGGTGGAGCCCATCCAGATATGGGCGCAGCAGGAGCTGGTGAAGGTCGGTGGTCTCTCCTTCCTGCCTGCTCCGGGGGGTGGAGGGGGGCTGGGGCTGGGGCTCTGCGGTTAGGCTTGGGGCCCGGTCAGGCCATGCGGGGAGCGCAGCCTCCCACCCTAAGGCGGGGCCGTTCCTCCGCAAGTCTCCCCGAGTGAGGTGGCCGGAATATTTTGTAAAACTCACATAATCAGAAAAATCATAAAGCACTTCAGCTTCAGTAGGAAGTACTTCAAGGTGGTTTTCTAGTTTGAGATGTGGGCCCCATTTTAAAAAAACTGTGATTAGCCAGATTTTCCGTCACACAGAAAGCACTGGTCTCTTCATGCTCTTTCACAAGTCAGACACGGTCAGATAAGGATGCATGTCACACGCATGACACATGTACAGCAGCCTTGCTCCCAGACCTCCCCAGGCCCAGAACCTGAGGCGACGCCATCGGCTGGCGTGTGTGCCCGCGAGTCCACTGAGCAGGGTCCCCCGGCCTCTCTCCGGACGCGAAGAGGATGCAGGCGGCAGGGCGGCCGTCGGGGCGTGCGGGGCGGGGGTGTGGCAAAAGGGGGAAATCTCGGCTTCCTGCTGGGCTCTGATCCGCGCATTTGTGTCTTGCAGGCGTATTTCCACCTGGGTGTCAACGAGAAGCTGGGGCTCACGGGGCGGCCGGACCGGCCCATCGGCTGCCTGGGCACGTCCAAGGTGCCCGCGGGCGCCCCCTGGGGGCGGGGGAGGGGGGTCGCAGGTCCACAGGCTGCAGGGCCCCTGCTGGGCTCCTCCTCTGAACCATCACTTCTTACAAGGGCACGGTGTCGTGTGTTCCGTGTGAGGGCACACAAGCCCCCGGGAATGAACACGCACCCACTCGCTCTGTGGCTCCTGCGCGTCCCGAGATGCCCGGTCACAGTGTCCTTTACTTGTGAGCCCACCGGTTCCGTCAGGGAACTTCCGCATGTCTTCCCATCGTGTGTTTGTTGACGAGATAGGTTGTTTCATTTGCGCGGTCAGAGTCGGACATCAGGTGTAACTTTTACTGGGGCTTCTGCGGCCGCGCCTCCGGCCGGTCTGGTGTTGACGGCGGCTGTCTCCCCGCACACAGATCTACCGCATCCTCGGGAAGACGGTGGTCTGCTACCCAATCATCTTCGACCTCAGCGACTTCTACATGTCCCAGGACGTCCTGCTGCTCATAGATGACATCAAGGTAGCTCCGAACGCCTGATCGAATGGGGCGACTTTGTTCCGCCGAGTTCCGTCGGACGTTCTGACGTCGGGTGCTCCCGGGTCCCGGACACCGGGTGCCGCCGTGTGGAACGTGCTGGTGGAGCGGCGGCCACAGGGCCTCGGGGCAGGGGGAGGTCCCCCACGGTCTCAGACGGTGGGTGGCGTCTGCCTTACGCAAAGCCGTGTGGCTGCGCCTGTTGTCCCTCCGGCATCGGTCTGAAAAGGTGGGTGGGAACTGGGGAACTGGTCTGAGACCATTTTCCCGTGGCACTGAGGGACGACCTCTTCGCGAACAGCGGCGCAGTCAGCAAAGCCGCTGTGCTGACAAAGGATGCCCAGGAGAACCGCGATGAACTCAGGATGCCCGCTAGCGAGATCTCCCCCGCCCCCCTCCCTGCCTGTCCCCCAACCCCTGCAGAGAAGCTTCAGGGACCGGCGTGCGGCGCCCAGAGCCGGACTGCGCTCCTGCAGTCTCAGACCCACTGTCCACCTGTCGTGCGATCCCCCCTAGCTTCTCGGTGTCCCTGTGCCCTCAGCGTTGTGACGTGTGACTGAGGGGTGGGACAGCCCTCGTCAGGGCTGAAGGAGCGAATGGCCGTGCAGGCGCTCAGCATAGAGCCCGGCCCGCGGGGAGGCACAGCGCGCGCCTCTGATGGGACCATGGCGATGAGGACGATGATGATGACGATGGTGATGATGATGGTGGTGATGATGGTGGTGATGATGACGGTGATGATGACGGTGGTGATGATGGTGGTGATGATGGTGATGATGACGACGGTGATGATGACGGTGGTGATGATGATGGTGGTGATGATGGTGGTGATGACGGTGGTGATGACGATGGTGGTGATGATGATGGTGGTGATGACGGTGATGATGACGACGGTGGTGATGACGGTGGTGGAGATGATGATGGTGGTGATGATGACAGTGATGATGACGGTGGTGATGATGGTGGTGATGATGGTGATGATGACGGTGATGATGACGGTGGTGATGACGGTGGTGATGACGACGGTGGAGATGATGACAGTGGTGATGACGACGGTGGTGATGATGACAGTGGCAGTGATGACAGTGGTGATGATGGTGGTGATGATGGTGGTGATGACGGTGGTGATGACGATGATGGTGGAGATGATGATGGTGGCGATGATGATGGTGGTGATGATGACGGTGGTGATGACGGTGGTGATGATGACGGTGATGATGATGGTGGTGATGATGGTGGTGATGACAATGGTGGTGATGATGGTGGTGATGATGACGGTGATGATGGTGGTGATGGTGGTGATGACGGTGGTGATGACGACGGTGGAGATGATGATGGTGGTGATGACGGTGGCGATGACGACGGTGGAGATGATGGTGGTGATGATGATGGTGGTGATGATGACGGTGGTGATGACGGTGGTGATGACGACGGTGGAGATGATGATGGTGGTGATGACGGTGGCGATGACGACGGTGGAGATGATGGTGGTGATGATGACGGTGATGATGATGACGGTGGTGATGACGGTGGTGATGACGACGGTGGAGATGATGATGGTGGTGATGATGACGGTGGAGACCGAGTCCGAGGAGGAGCGCGCACATTTCCGACCCGTCCGGGCTCGGTCCTGCCCGTCCGCCTTCTGCACTTGAGTTCACGATGACGTGGCGGGGGGGGGACTGGTCTCTGGGTGACCGCCGGGTGGGCTCTTCCTCCCCGGGGCCCTTTCGACCTGGATTCATTAGGCCACACGCACAAAACGCCCCCCGAAGTCCTGGGGCTCTGACTGTTCTAAAGGACAAAGATCCCAGTCAACGTGGCTTCCAGCTGAGCGTGTGCACACGTGTGCTTGCACGCTTGCGCGTGCTGGGGCACTCCTGCCCCGGGGCGGTGTGCCCTCCAGGGCTGGGCGGCGGCCTGCCTCCCGTGCAAGGGCTGCGCTGGCTGCTCGCCGGTGGTGGTCACGCGTCCTGGCCAGCGCCGCCGCGGGGCCTTCGCCCACCAGCGCCCCCTTGCCCTGACAGAACGCGCTGCAGTTCATCAAGCAGTACTGGAAGATGCACGGCCGGCCGCTCTTCCTCGTGCTCATCCGGGAGGACAACATCAGGTCGGTCGGCGAACGGGGGAGGGGCCCATGTACCCCCATCCCATCAGCGCTGCAGGCGGGCGGGCGGAGGCAGGGCCCCCACCTTTCCCGTGTCCCCCTCGGGCTGGCAGAGCGCTTCGCAGAGTGGGGAGGGCTCCCGGCGTGAGGCGGTTGGTCCCTCCTGCGGTTGACACACGCGTGCCGTTTGTCTGTGTCTGCGTCCAGAGGCAGCCGGTTCAACCCCATACTGGACATGCTGGCGGCCTTCAAGAAAGGAGAAGTCGGAGGGGTCAAGGTGCACGTCGACCGCCTGCAGGTAGTCCTCTGAGCCACGCCGCTTCCCTCGTCGTCGGGACGCGTCACCCCGAGAGGGCGCAGCCGTGCTCCCCGCCGTGCGCCGGGTGTGCAGGCCTGCTCTCCGGGCAGTGGTCCGCGCCTGCCCCCCGGCGCCTGCCGCCCCCGTGCCATTCTCCCGGTCCTTCCCACCTGGTGCTTGAACGATTGCAGGATCCCCCAACCAGAATTTCAGGCTCGGAAGGCGCGGCCCCGGCCTCGCTCTCGCCTTTGAGGGAGCCGGGCCCGCGGTGCCGGCGTGGCCTGCTACACAGCAGCCCCTCAGCCACCTCCCTGCCCCCCAGCCTCTGTCCTCTCTGTGACGCAGTCAGTGACAGCGGCGCCCGTGTGCCTCTCTCGGCTCTCAGTCCAGCTCTTCCAGGTCTCCCGAGCCCGTGGCTGGGGCTCGGCCTCCCCTCCCAGCCGCGTCCCCCAGGACCCCCCCCACCCGTCACGCGCAGCCCCGCCCCCCCAGCCCCCTGGCTACTTCCCGCAGCTCCGACTGTCGTCGGGGCTGTCTCCTGCCCTGCCGTCCCTGTGTTCCGGGGTTGCCTTCTGCCTCAGTCCCACTTTAATTTCGTAACTCCGGGCAGTGTCCCCTCACTGGAGAGGCCTCCAGGAGTGGAATCAGCCTCCCCCGTGTGCTCCCTGGCGTGTGCTCAGGCCTTCGCGACAGCTCTCATTCCCGGTGTGGCCGGTTCCCGGCGTCCGCCTCTGTCTGTGGAGTGAAAGCTCCTCGGGCCGAGCTGACTCACGCCGCCCTTGCAGAGGGCTCGCTCGCTCGCTGCTAGGCCCCTGCAGGGAGCAGGCAAACGCTGGCTCCTCGATTCAGGGTGTACTCAGGGAGCCCCTCACTGGCCCCGGGGGTGTGGGGGGGAGACGCACCGGGTCCCCGTCCTCAGGGGGCTGGTTCCTGCGGGGGAGCCTACGGGAGAGCAGGCCCGGCGGGCGTGCAGAGTGAGTGTGTGCAGTGAGTGTGCGGAGTGTGTGGAGTGAGCGTGCAGAGTGTGTGCAGTGAGCGTGCGGAGTGAGCGTGTGAAGTGGGTGTGCAGAGTGAGTGTGCAGAGTGAGCGTGCGGAGTGAGCGTGTGAAGTGGGTGTGCGGAGTGAGTGCAGAGTGAGTGTGCAGAGTGAGCGTGCGGAGTGACTGTGTGAAGTGAGTGTGCGGAGTGAGCGTGCGCAGCGGTGGGCGGGGCCCGTCTGGGGGAGTGTCGGGGCGAAGGGCCAGCAGGACACAGCGGAGCGTCACGGAGCAGGAGGCGTGTTTGTGTGTCACGTTGCGGCTGACACGCCTGTAGTGGTAGTTATTGGATTGCCGTCACCAAGGCATCAGCGCCTATGGAATTAATTATGATGGCCTTTGTAAGACTAGTTCAGGGGCTCTGCAGCCAACTGAATTTTTTAATTAAGAGCTCTAGAGACTATTAATGGAACATCGTATTTGCCTATTAATTCCAATTAAACATTTATTTTATGGGCTAACAGTATCAATATTAAAATTAATTTTATGTTTTCAATATTAGTTATCAGCTACTAGAGAATTAATTAATTCCCGACTCCTCCCTGCCTCCCTGCCCGCGTCACAGTCCACTGGCCCCTCGGTGGTCCCCTGCTCTCGGGGTGCAGCCACCCACTCCCTTTGTCCCCACCCCCGCCCGGCACCACGGTCCTGCGACCCCGTCTCCCACCTGCCTGGACTTTCACGGTCGTCTCCTGCCTTCCTAGTGGCCCTGGGGCCCTTGCCCTGTCCCTGCTCTGCCTGGTCACGGGGCCTCGAGGTCACATCCCGTGTCGCGAGCCGCCCAGGACTTCCTCTCACACGGAGTGTCCCCCAGCGCCCAGTCCGCCCCCCACAGTCCAGGCGCTCGCCCCCCACCACCCGGGCCCGGCGACTGCACGCGAGCTTTCCCCCAAACCGTTCTAGTATTTCACGTTTTCTTTCCGTTTGGAAGTATTTTCTAACGTGTTCATGGGTAACGCACCTTATCTCAGCTTGAAAATAAGCACCCGTGTGAGGGCAGAGAGGGAGCCCCCCACCTCCTCCGACGGCCTTGTTTGCCACCGCCCCCCGCCCCCCCGCACGCGCGGTGGGGGCCACTCCCCAGCTCAGGGGTTTTGCCGTGCATGCGTGCGTGTGAAGCTGTCTGAGTGAGTTTGGAGCGCCCCCTGAGGAGTGGCGTGAGAGTCGTGCGTCCAGTAGGCCGGCTCCTTTCTGAAGGATCGCCGCGCTCACAGCGGAGCGCACACTAGGGCTACGGGTCTCAGAGCCGTGCGCGTCCCGTCCCGTTCCAGACGCTGATCTCCGGGGCCGTGGTGGAGCAGCTGGACTTCCTGCGCATCAGCGACACGGAAGAGTAAGTCCCCGCGGGCCGTCCCGCGGGCCGTCGCCGCGTCTCTCCGGGCGGCACCTGCGGTGCGGGCAATCTGGAACCTGCTCGTTCGGTTGGTTTCCAGGCTCCCCGAATTTAAGAGTTTCGAGGAACTGGAGCTCCCCAAACATTCGAAGGTCAAACGGCAAAGCAGCGCCTCCAGCGCTCCGGAGCTGGAGCGGCAGCCGGAGGTCACCGTGGCCGAGTGGAAGAACAGACCCACGCAGGACATCCTGCAGAAACTGCAGGTGAGGGCGGCGCTGGTGCGGGGGCCCGGGGCAGGCCGGGCTTCGGGGGGCGAGTCTTTGCGGGGGGCCTGTGGTAGAGGCCTTCGTGCACGGGGGGGGGGTGCGGGGAGGGGCTCCGGGCTGGGGCACAGGTGCTCCGGGAGGTGGGTGCATTGGGCTTGGCCGGGGGTGGAGGTGTCGCTCGGGCCCCTGCGGAATTAGGTCAGTGGCGTTGCCTGCGGGACCCCGGGCTCCTCCCCAGCGCCCTTGCCCCCTCCGACAGCCAGCCTCCCCCCGGCACCAGCACTCAGGGCTGATGCTTGCTGTCCTCTGGGTCTCGGAAGGAAGCAGACCTGTGACCACGTCCATTTGAATATGGTGTCAGCTGCCTACACACTGCCGTCCCCGAGGGCATTTGCACATTAAGGAGAGGGGGGTAGAGAGCGGTGCTCCTCCACGGAGACAGAGTTCGGACGGGAGAGCCGCAGGTGCCACCAGGGCCCGCGGGCCTGCGAGAGTGTGGGCGTGGGGCTAGGTGGGTGTCCTGCTGGCCAGCGCCGGTCCTCGGAGCTCGAGCACGCCCCGCCTGCTCGCACCCACCTCCCTACCACAGCCCGACAGCGGCGGGTTCTCCCGCTGACGAGTTAGCCGGCGGGACGAGTCTTCATGCTCGCAGAGAACTGCTTTTGCACCCGTTGCTTACCCCGCCTCCTGAACAGCCTGGTCACTGCCTCCTGCTGCCCAGGGAGCCAGCCTGTCTGCAGTCTGTCTCCCGGACGACCGCGACAGACAGAGACAGCCGTACAGTGTCCGCTCACGCCCGGGGGTCCGCCAGCGGCACCCCCCTTTCCTCCGTCCCACAGCCTGGTGTTTCCGCTCCGTGTCTCGGGGTTTCCCGCTGCCCCCTCCCCCCCGACCCCATGGTGACCTCTGCGCCCGTGGCCCCGCGGTCAGCCCTGCGGTCTGCGCTTTCAGGACTGCAGCTGTGTGGCCGGCCAGATCGTCCTGCTGGGCCTGCTGCTCCGGAGAGAGGGCCCCGACTTCATCACCAAGGACGGTAAGCGCCCCTGCCTGAGGACTTTCCAGAACAGCGGGGCCGCCCTGTTGTCCAGCGTGCACCGCATGTCCGTGATGAGCATGCCCCGGGCGTTATTAGTTACTCTCTTCTCCTTCGGGTCCTTCGTGAGAGCGGCCACCTGGCTTGGTGACGCCCAGGCCTCTCTCTGGTGGTCTGGGGGCGGGGGGCTGGAGCCCGGACTCTGCCTGGGACGCTCAACCTCTCGTGGCTCCGTGGCCGTCTGCAGACCGCCTCTGTCCCCACTCCCTGTCCTGGGTGTGTCCACGGACACAATGTGGAGCTGCTGCAGGCCTGGAGATGAGCAGCCTGCTGGTCTGCAGCAGCCCGGGAGGGGGTCTGGCACGTGGCAGAGCCGTGCGCTGCAGGCGGTTGGCAGACACGAGTCACTTCTCGTCACGTCCGCGTCCACGCCTGCATCCGTGACAAAGCCCCGTTGCCCCGGAGTCCACGTGTGTGTGTGTGTGTGTGTGTGTGCTGAGTTGGGCCTGGAAGGAATCACTGAGTTCTCCACCGGGGTCTGCCCCTGGCGTTTCCTAACGCAGAACAAGGCGGGGGGCACTCTGGGTGTTACTGCCTAGCTACGCAAAGTGTTTTGGCTCATCCGAGAGCCCCCCGTCCAGAGGGCCGTGCTGATTTGGTTAGGGTTGGAAACGGAGCCAGCCGCTTAAACGTTGGCGGGACTGCTGGGGTGCGCAGCTCTGGTGGTGGCCGGGCGTGAGGGCTCCTCAGGTGAGGTCTGCCTGGGCTTCACGTGACCGCAGCTGAGACACAGCCTTCTTGGGTGTTACAGAGGCAAAGGGAAGGGTCGTAGTTTTCCTGACTCGTTACAGGCAGAAGAACTTCAGCAGATTTCAAAGAGAATCGCTCATTTCTAGTTAGTCTCGAGACTGTAAGTGTAAGCAGAACCCTCGTTAGATTGAGGACGCTCATTGAGGCTTACACTTGAAAACAACTGGATTTCAAAAAAGGAAACACTTCATTGGGAACCTAGATTTCATTACATTTATTTCAGCAGTGCTTTACAACAAAACAATATTTATGTAAAATAGTTTGATGTGCAAATGGGGGGGAGGTCATTTTCTGGGCCGTTCTTGTGACCTGGGGAGGGATGCTTACCCCCACTCAGGCCCCGGAGGCGGCGTGGGTGCCGTGGATCTGCACAGCCTCCTGGCCCGTGGGACACCACAGGCGCGGGCAGCAGCTGCATGTAGGTTCACCCACACCGTCGTGAAGCTGTAAGAGGAAGTTCGGGGTGAAATGAAAACCTTGTTCTGTGCCCTGCCCCCTCTTCGGTGCCCTGTCCTGTGACGCGGTCCCTTCCTGGGGCACCGGCGCGAGGCCGGGCCCCCCTAGGCCGGGCCGTGTGCGGCGCCGTGGAGGCCGGGCGAGCAGCTAGAGGGAGAGTCGGGTCCGCTCAGAGTCTGCAGCCTCTGGCCAGCCGGCTCCGTCCTGCTTTTCCTTTCTGCTTTTATTTAATAAATTAAAATATATTACTGTTATTTGTTAGAAACGTAGATTGCCCAGTAAGTAAGAAAACAGGGCCTTCCTAGGAACACTCACTGAAACCGTGAGCTCAGACGAAACAGGGAGGAGGGCAGGCGCGCCACCCCACGCGCTCGGGTCGCGTGTTGGCCCTGCAGAGTCAGGCAGCCCCGAGCGGGCCCGGGTGTGGGCAGGCCGTCTCTGGCTGGGCAACGCGACAACCCAAGCCAGAGCGGTTTTTTAAGGAGAACAAATGTCGCGCGTTTAACGGGACGCCCTCCCCGACGCGCACCCTCTCGTCCCACGTCCAGGCGCCGTCTCCGACCACATCGAGAGAGTCTACAGGAAGGCCGGCAGCAGAAAGCTTTGGTGCGTATCAGCGTCCTCGTCCCCGTGTGTCGTTTGTGTGTTGTCGTCTTCAGTAGCCTAGAGGTACGGACCGGTCTTAACGCTGGCTGTGCATCCTCGTTTCCACTGTCCAGCTCCTGAGATGTTCTTAAAGACCGTCTGGGAGGAAGGGGCTCCGTAGGAAGAGCCCCTGCTAGTGATTCTCTGGGATGACGTGCTGACGACCTCCCGTCCCCTCCCCCGTACCCCCCCCCCGCCCCCTGACCCAGGAAGGGGCTCCTGGGTCTGCTGTGTGTGGCGGGGAGGGCGCACGCAGAGACCAGGGCTGCGTTAGTCATGGGCGCAAAGACACGCCAGGCAGTCCTCGCACCACCTAGAGTGAGCGAGCCCGGGGCCCGTGGTCGCTCCGTGAAAAGACCCCAGGGTGCTCTGCGGGGGTAGCCTCGTCCCAGGGGGCCTACAGGAAAAGTCCGTAAGCTGGGGTAGAGTCGCTGGGGTTCCCAGCGGGGCCGCGTGCCGGCTGCATGGCTCTCTGCATCTGGCCGTGACTCTCACTGTCTTAACCAGCCGAGTCTAGCGTTTTGAAAGTCAGAGTGCATATATTTTTAGATGACCCATTGTTTTCTGATTTTGAAACAGTCTCAAGGAGTGTAAGAAACTCGCTTAACCCGAGTGAGCCTCCTGTTGCCAATCTCTAAAGTAAGAGTAGCGGTAAGACAGTCTGTGAGCAGTAGTCCAGCTCTGTGATTACCATAACCACGCCATTCCACCCCGGACATGGCCACGCGACGATCCCGTGGTTCCAGCTCGCACACTCCCGGTAGAAGCTCAGCACAGCGGGCGTGCGAGCTGGCGGAGGTCGCTCTGCAGCCGGTGCTGGCCCATCGCCTCCTCTTTGGCCAAGCAAGCCTGCTCTTGCTCTACGCGTCACGCTTGCATTTTAGATAAACCACTAACCAGCAAGCACTGACGGTGCCGACGGTTGTGTTTCAAGGAACCCACTCCTGGAAGTTTCATTTATTGTGTTTTCCCTTCCATGGCTGCACACTGACGCCCCCAGGCTGGCGGTGCGCTACGGGGCTGCGTTTACCCAGAAATTCTCTTCCTCCATAGCCCCGCACGTTACGACCTTACTGGTCCACGGGAAGCAGGTAACGTGCGCGCAGCGTGTGGACGCCGGCGCTGCTTGAAGTGCGGGGGCTGGCCTGCACCCTGGGGGCTGGCCGGAGCTGCTCCCGGCGTGCGGTTGAAAGCTTTTCTAGAAGCGGGCCGTGTCTGTTTCACTAACTCTGTCAGTTCAGTGACCTGATTTTCACGGCTCCATCTATACTGAGACTGAGGGATAGAAATGCTTTTTATAGGTCAGCTCCCAGAAATATCCTGCAATACGAGGGAACGGTGCTAAACCCACATTCTAACTTTATTTTTCTGTCTCAGTGTTCCGCGTGAATTTTCTTTCAGTTTTGAGGGGAAGAAAGGTCTTATGTGTTGCATGTGCTGTGCTTTAAAAAAAAAAAAACAGTTCCCCTTATAGTCTGAGATTTTTCCAAAAAAGTAAAAATAGCAGTGTGAGTTCCTCCCTCCAGCATCCTGTCTTTATCCCGAAAAAACATTGCCGGTACTTCACTGTATCGCTTCCTAGAGTTCAGGCCCGAGTCCCGCACCCTGGGGTTTGGCTTTTGGGGCGCACAGGAAGTGGGGTGTGGAGCGGTTGCAGGAACAGAGGCGGACACCAGACCCCACGACAGGCCCAGCAATGGATCCTGTGGCGCAGACTAGAACACTCTGGGTTCCCCCTCAGAGGGACAGTTCCGCCCCCTCTCTTCCCCTGACCTTGCCGACGGTGCAGCTGACGCCGTCGGCCGCGGCAGAGCTGGGGGCGAGGGGCGCCTCCCCGCTCCCGGGGGCGGTCCTGCGGTCCAGGAAATGTCGGCTGTTGGGGCCAACGTCTTGGGCCCGGGGTCCCCCCCACCCAGAACACCGTTGGGTGAGGACCCCGTTGTGCTTCCTCTCCAGCGCCCCCCCGGGCCCCTCCCCCTGCTCCTCCGTTGGGTGTGAACCTCTGGCCTGCTCTCTTCTTGCCCGCAGGTCGGTTGTGCGCCACGCCGCAAGCCTTTTAAGTAAAGTGGTGGACAGCCTGGCCCCGTCCATTACTAATGTGTTAGTGCAGGGCAAGCAGGTAAGTCTCCCCCTCAGACCCGCGCTCGGCCACGCCCCCCAAGGCTTCCGGTAGGACCCTTGCCTTTAACCCCCATGTCACGGGCCTCTCACGGGCCCGTCAACAGGAGCTCAGGCCTGGATGGCTACGGAGGGTCTCCCCCGAGCGGAGCCCTGACTCAGGGGCAGCCCCTGTCCTTCCCCTTTCCCGCTGCACCTTGAGCTGTGGTCTCGGCCCCTGTGTTGACGCGGGGCCCACGGAGACTCGGACATGGGGAGCCGGCTCTCCGCCTGAGCACCCACCCAGGGGCAGGGTGAGCGGGCAGAGCAGGTGGACACCCGAGGGCTCTTCTCCTTTTCCTTCACGGGAGGCTCTTCTCCCCTGGGTCCACAGCCCCCTGCTCCGCCCGGCCCCTCGCCCCTGAGCCAGCTCTCGTCAGATGCCCCCCCCCCAGCACCTCCGGTTGGCAGTTCCTGTGCGGGTCCTCAGGGCAGCCGGTGACCCTGCTCACAAGCTGCCCTGGATCCCAGCTCGAGGGAGGCCCGCCTCCCAGGCGGTGGCAGGCGACGAGCCCCGGGGGACGGGGAGGCCCAGCAGCATCCAGGGGTGCCCCACCTGGGCCCCGGCCCGAGCGGGCGCCCAGCGAGTGTGACCGGGCCTGAGCTGGTGCATGCGCTGCTGTGGAGGGGGCCGCGGCTGCTCGCTTCCTGTTGGCTTTCTCTGCGCTGCGAGGGCCTGGCTGGATCGGTGGGCGTGAAAACCCGTGTGCCTGCTTCCTCTGCCGGGGGGACACGTGCGCTGCGCTGCTACCACGCACCGTAACTCTCTCCCCTGAGAGCAGCCCAGGGCCCGCGCCCCGGGCCTCCCGGCCGGCTCCGAAACGTCACAGTCCGTTATTTGTTCCGTCCTGAACGTTTCACGCCAATGAGAACGCGATCGTAGTCACAGGAGAGCCCCTGAAAAGAAGTTAAAGCACATTGCACGTTATTTTTCCCGTTTCCTCCACATCACCGAAGGCAGGGCGCCCGTCCCCACTTGTCCAGGCAGCGACCTGCCCGGGGCCTGCCTCACCGCGTCCTCACCTCCAGCCGGGGGTCCCGACGGCCGCCCGGGCCGAGCCCCTTCTCAGGGACAGTGAGCGGGCTTTGGGGAGCTGTCCTCCCCGGGGTTTCAGGGCCCTGTGCCGCATCTCAAAGGGCGGGCACACGAGCAGGTTTTAAAGAGCTTTGAGGTCGCCAGCCCCTGACGCCTGGGGAACGGCTCGCGCAGAGAGGGCCAGTCCCTCCGCACAGTGTCCGGAGGTGGCATGGGGCCTGAGACCCTGCGCCCCGAGTCCTGGGCGCCTGTCCCGAGGCTGTGGCCGGCCTACTGCCCGTGGGAGCAGCGCGTGCCCCCAGGGGACCAGTCTCGGTGGGGCTGCCGGAGCCCGGGCGGCGGACGGCTCTGCTGCAGGGGCGTGACGTCCGTTCGCAGACCGCATCTGACCCCCTCGCACTGGAGAGACGGGAGCGGAGCGTCCAGAGTTTGCATTCGCTCCTCTCTGAGGACGGAAGTCATACTTTACAAGGTGCCTTCCGGTCCCCTTGAGCTCTCCGGGATGAAACGGGGTTCGGTCGTCCTCCCCGGAGGCCCAGCTCGCCTTCCGCCCCCGTAGTAAACGTCCTCGCCCTCGGGCCGCCTGGTTGGTGCCGCTCACGGTGTAGTCACCGAAGCAGCGGTTCCCGGTTTCCACCCGCCACAGAATCAGGGCCCAGGCCCCCTGTTCTGCCCCCTCCCTCGTCCCTGCAACACCAGAGCCCGTGCTGTGCCTTCTTCCTGCCTCTCCAACCACCCGGCGCGCGGAGCACCGACGGCGGAGGTGGGGGAGGCCTGCAGGGCCTCCAGGGGCGCACGGGCAAGGATGCCGTAGGGACCAGAGGTCCCTCGTGCCGGCCTCGGCAGCACCTGCTGCTGTGAGCTGCCGTTGCTGCTCCTCTCCCCCAGCCCCGTGCTTTCTTGTGTCCCGCCCAGGACACGTGGGGCCACACCCCAGCCGGGCGCCCTCGTCCCTAACCTTGAAAAGGCCGCAGTGTCGTTAAAGACAGGAAGTTCCGAGCTAGGAAGCGGCGGGAGACACGCTCTCCGACGTGAGGTTGTGCAGGCTGGGCTGCAAGGTCGGACTGCCGGGTGCGTTCTGGTTCCTCGGGGCCCCTGCTGCTGCCACCGCCCAGGGTCCCTCTGTCTCAGTAGGTGTTGCCGTGCCTTCCCCGCTTTCGGCCACTCGCCCCCACGCCCCGAACCGGCACCTCACCTGCCCTTGGACTCCAGACCGGCCTCGGGGCCGTCAGGAGGTCTGGTGGGAGTCACGCTTCGAAAGTTGTTATAATGAAAAGCAGGGGCAGCCCTCCCCCCGAATTCCCTGGCTCACGCAGAGTAATTTCCACCTGCCAGTCATCCTGGGCCCGAGTTTTTCCTCTTACCGTTTAGCAGCTGGGAGGTTTTTATAATGAAACCCGCCACTTCCAGGTGACCCTGGGTGCCTTTGGGCACGAAGAGGAGGTGATCTCGAACCCACTGTCGCCGAGGGTGATCAAGAACATCATCTATCACAAGTGTAACACCCACGACGAGAGGGAGGCGGTCATCCAGCAGGAGCTGGTCATCCACATTGGCTGGATCATCTCCAACAGCCCCGAGCTGTTCAGCGGCATGCTCAAGATACGCGTGGGGTCAGTGGGGGGGTGGGGGAGTGATGGGGGGTGAGTGATGGGGGGTGATGGTGGGGGGTGAGTGATGGGGGGGTGATGGTGGGAGTGAGTGATGGGGGGGTGGGTGATGGGGGGGGGGTGATGGTGGGAGTGAGTGATGGGGGGGGTGAGTGATGGGGGGGGGGTGGGTGATGGGGGGGGGGTGGGTGATGGGGGGGGGGTGATGGTGGGGGGGGGGTGATGGTGCGGGTGAGTGATGGGGGGGGGGTGGGTGATGGGGGGGGGGTGGGTGATGGGGGGGGGGTGATGGTGGGGGGGGGGTGATGGTGCGGGTGAGTGATGGGGGGTGAGTGATGGGGGGTGATGGTGGGAGTGAGTGATGGGGGGTGAGTGATGGGGGGTGATGGTGGGGGGGGGGTGAGTGATGGGGGGGGTGATGGTGGGAGTGAGTGATGGGGGGTGGGTGATGGGGGGGGGGTGATGGTGGGAGTGAGTGATGGGGGGGGGGTGAGTGATGGGGGGGGGGTGATGGTGGGAGTGAGTGATGGGGGGGGGGTGAGTGATGGGGGGGGGGTGGGTGATGGGGGGGGGGTGGGTGATGGGGGGGGGGTGATGGTGGGGGGGGGGTGATGGTGCGGGTGAGTGATGGGGGGGGGGTGAGTGATGGGGGGGGGGTGAGTGATGGGGGGGGGGTGATGGTGGGAGTGAGTGATGGGGGGGGGGTGATGGTGGGGGGGGGGTGATGGTGGGGGGGGTGAGTGATGGGGGGGGTGAGTGATGGGGGGTGAATGATGGGGGGGGGGTGAGTGATGGGGGGGGGGTGATGGTGGGAGTGAGTGATGGGGGGGGGGTGATGGTGGGGGGGGGGTGAGTGGAGGGGGGGAGTGAGTGATGGGGGGGGGGTGAGTGATGGGGGGGGGGTGAGTGATGGGGGGGGGGTGAGTGATGGGGGGGGGGTGATGGTGGGAGTGAGTGATGGGGGGGGGGTGAGTGATGGGGGGGGGGTGGGTGATGGGGGGGGGGTGATGGTGGGGGGGGGGTGATGGTGCGGGTGAGTGATGGGGGGTGAGTGATGGGGGGTGAGTGATGGGGGGTGATGGTGGGAGTGAGTGATGGGGGGGGGGTGATGGTGGGGGGGGGGTGATGGTGGGGGGGGGGTGAGTGATGGGGGGTGAGTGATGGGGGGGTGAATGATGGGGGGGTGAGTGATGGGGGGTGATGGTGGGAGTGAGTGATGGGGGGTGATGGTGCGGGTGAGTGGAGGGGGAGTGAGTGATGGGGGGTGAGTGATGGGGGGTGGGTGATGGGGGGTGATGATGGGGGGTGATGGTGGGGGGTGAGTGGAAGGGGAGTGAGTGATGGGGGTAAGTGGCTGGGGGGTGTGAGTGGCAGGTGCCGCGTGTGCATCGAGAGAGCTGTGCTCGCATCTCGTGTGGGCACACTTGTGTCTTTCTCCCTCCCTTCCCCTCTCGAATAAGTAAAATATGTTGTTTTAAAAAGTTTCTCAGATTAAAAAAGTTAAGTCACTCACACACAAAGTAATTAAACGCTTAGGCATTTCCGGGCGTGATACTGCACCAGCGTGGGATGCTCCAGGCACACGAACGGCGCTCCATAGACACTGGCCTGGGTAACTCTGCCAAAACTCCATCCGTAATGAAAATCATTTCATGAACGGCATTCGAGTACCTACTAAAGAACAAGTTCCTTAAGAACAGCACATGAGCAGCACTTAAACACCCACATTTAAACATCTGTAGGGAGGATTCTCCTGGAGTCTGTTGGGTAAAGCGCGTTCCCTGAGGTCCCGGCTCGGTGACGACTGCGTCCCCGTGCGTCCGCGGCGGGCACTTCTGCGATGTCCCCCCAGTCGCGGAGAAAGACCGAGAAGGAAAGGACGTGGGGGAAGTGCCGTCCTCCCTAGAAAAGGAGCATTTGTATAGCGGCCGGAATCGGCCCTTTCCCTGAAGCGAACCACTTTTGCCCTCTGGTTCCTGCCCGTGTCTCGCGTGGAGAGGACAGTAGTGTGTCAGCGTCCTGTACGGGGCGCGGGCGTGCCCAGCGAGTGCAGTGTCGCCTGGCAGGACCCCAAGCTCCAGACCCCCTCCTGTCTGCTGTCTGCTGCCCGCCCGCGTGTGCGAGAGCGGGCGTCGGGTGGAAGAGGCTGGGCGTGCCGCTCAGCCCTCCTGTAAGGAGCGGCGTCGGAGGGTTCTCCAAGTCCCTGCGGGCTCTCCCCGCGTCCGGGGTGGCTGAGCCCCGCCCCCTGCTCACTGTGTCCGTGGTGTCTGAGCCCCGCCCCCTGTTCCGTGTCCGGGGTGACTTGAGCCCCGCCCCCTGTTCCGTGTCCGGGGTGACTGAGCCCCGCCCCCCACTCCGTGTCCCAGTGACTGAGCCCCGCCCCCGCTCTGCCGCAGGTGGATCATCCACGCCATGGAGTACGAGCTGCAGATCCGCGGCGGGGGCAAGCCGGCCGCCGACCTGTACCAGCTGTCGCCCAGCGAGGTCAAGCAGCTCCTGCTGGACATTCTCCAGCCTCAGCAGAACGGGAGGTAACGAGGGGCGCCTGTTCCCTGCGGGCCCCGCGAGGTTCACGGTGCCCTCGTCCCCGGTGCTCACCCGAAACGAGGCGTCCGTGAGAAACACTGAGTGGCGGGTGGCCAGTGCGCACGGGGGCTCCCGTTCCAGCTCCTGTCTCCCCGTGTATGTGTGTGTGTGTGTGTGTGTGTGCGCGCGCTCTGGTGTCCGTGCGCATTTCACACACTTCCCAGGTGCAGTTTGCTGACGCCTCTTAGTTTTTACTGCTCCGTGCAGAGCGTGGACTATCACCCACTCTGGGCAGCCCCGTCCGAATCTGCAGCACCCCCCGCCTCCTCCGGCCGGTCTGGCGCTGGGTTTGCTGTGGGTCTGCTCTCCGCGTGTCCTCGCCTGTCCCTCCGGCTCCCCAGGGAGACAGTGAGGCTCCTCGGGGCCCAGCCCTCCCGTAGACTTGCCTGGTGCTGGAATCAGAGCAGGAGCAAAGCAGATGCTTGTGGATTGCATGGAATTGGAGAATTTTTTTTTTATAACAGAATAGGCTTTGATGCAATTATTTAAGCTGTCTTTTTCAAGGAAGCTGCTTTGGGCATTCAAGTCATTTAATCACAGGGTGAGATTTTTAACCTTGCAACTTACTAGCGAAGAACGTTTTGCCTGTTAAATTTTTAAACATCTAGGGACTTTCTCCTTCCCTGCAAGCCCTGTTTTCTCCACGAAATGTTTAGTAATCTCCGTGGCACACGCTGGCAGGCACACCGTTGCGGGGGGGTCCGGCGTTCACTGCCCACCCGACTGGAACGGCTGGTCCACAGGGACAGCCTTGCTCTCGGCCAGGACCGGCCGCGCCCCCGCGCTGAGGCCACGCCCCCCGCCCCCTGCGCTGAGGCCACCCCCCCCCCCGCCCCCCGCGCTGAGGCGGCCCCTCTGGCCCGCAGGTGCTGGCTGAACCGGCGCCAGATCAACGGGTCCCTGAACAGGACGCCCCCGGGCTTCTACGACCGCGTGTGGCAGATCCTGGAGCGCACGCCCGACGGCCTGGCCGTGGCCGGGAAGCACCTGCCGCAGGTACCGCCGTTTTCCGGGGCAGCCTCCCCGAAGCACGGCCGTGCGGTGATGCAGAAATAACGTCGATTAGTACGGCTTTCGGGCAGAAGGTCCCTGTGGTAAAGCCGGGCTTCTCGTAGAGGGGACTGCCGTGGAAAAGCGGAAGTGACTCGATGGGAAGCAAGTACTTCCCGCCTGGTTGGCTAGACTGAGGCGCCGGCGCCTCCCCCGCAGGTGTCCGGAGAGCAAGCTTTAGGTCCTCGTGGGAAAGGGGGCGTCGGCACCGTGCTGGGCGGTGCTGGGTGCAGGGTGCAGGGGCGAGGCGGAGGGGCTGTGCTCTGTTTGAAGGGGACAGCCCACCCCTCCCATCCCCTCTGGGCTGGAAGCTGGTCCCGTTGTCCTGAGGCTCTGACCACGCTCCCTGTACACCCTCCCCGAGGGACAAGCACAGAGTGTGACTCGTGTCCCTGGGCCTCCGCCTCCGCTGGCCGTCCTGGCGACTCCCCCAGCCTCCCCCGCACGTGCCCCGCACTTCCCTGCCCCCCTCGCCCAGACCGAGGCCCGCGTTGGAGCGTGTTCTCTGCTCCGTCTGCGGGGTGAAAGGTGAACGGACGGCTCTGCAACACGCGTGCCGTGAGCGGAAAGCAGAGGGTCAGAGAGCCACCGAAACCGGGGGCCCCCGTTCCTCCCCGCAGTTCGCCGAGCACACAAGACCCAGTCCCAGCGCCGCAGGCGCTCGCTGGGCCGAGTGGACGCGGGAGGCGAGGGCTGAGTAGCCGTGACGTCCCTCTGGGCTGGGGGCCAGAGCGCAGGGGGCCGCCGCTGACGCCCAGCCGCTCCCTCCTGCAGCAGCCCACCCTGTCGGACATGACCATGTACGAGATGAACTTCTCGCTGCTGGTGGAGGACATGCTGGGGAGCATCGACCGGCCGCAGTACCGGCAGATCGTCGTGGAGGTGCGTGCCGCAGTGCGGGCCCAGAAACTCGTGTGCAGGGAGCCTCCCGGGGGGCCGGGCCTCTCGCCCCCACTGACCCGGAGCCCCTGCAGCGGGGCCCTGGGGACGGGCGCTGCTCGACCCCAGTCAGGGCCCGCGAGCGAGTCGGACACCTGGAACCCGTCGGGGTGCAGCGTGGCTGGCCGCCTCTCTCCGCGCACACTCGTCCCTGCGCAGCGAGCGCGTCCGCGCCACCGCGAAAGACAGCCCGTGGCTGCCCTCTGTCTGTGTTCCGTGCAGCTCCCTCTGTGACAGAAGTCATGCGTGGCTGCAGCAGAGGGTCCGGAGCTCAGAGCCCGGCGTCGGGCAGGTCGGAGGAAGGAGGGTGGCCCCGCGGCCACTTCACGGCGCCCTCGTCCGTCTCTTGCAGCTGCTCATGGTCGTGTCCGTCGTCCTGGAAAGGAACCCGGAGCTGGAGTTCCAGGACGAGGTGGACCTGGACAGGCTGGTGCAGGAGGCGTTCCGGGAGTTCCAGAAGGACGCGGGCCGGCGGGGGGAGGCAGGCGCACCGCCGGTAAGGAGGGTGGGCAGTTCCTGTGGGCCTGGGTTCGCCGTCTCAGCTCCTCAAATGCCCCTGACGTCCCCCCACGGTTCAGCTCACAGGGCAGGCTCAGGGGGGCAGGGCAGGGTCCCCGAGGGCCCCCGGGGTGGGGGCAGGGCAGGGGCCCCGAGGGGCCCCGGGGGGGGGCGGGGGCTGACTTCCTCGAGGAGTTCATGTTGCTTGTTGGCGGGTCGGTTCTAACTGTGAAGTTCCCACAACAACGACGTCCAGGACAAGAGGAGGTTCCTCTCTGGAGGCAGCAGTTGAAGTGTGTTTTGGGGGAGGGGGCGTGCGCACCAGGCCCCCCTGGGACGGGGAGGGCCCCGGGCGTCTGTCTGCGGCTCACGCATGGAGAAGCCACCTCGGGAGGGGGCAGCGGGGCCCCGGGGCCCACGCGGACCCCTCTCTGCGCATCAGTCCCCGGGTGACGCCCGTTTCACCGGCTGGCCTCTCACCGACCAGACACCGATCGCCTCCCTCCCCGCTCCTCCTGCAGGGCGACATGACCTCCTTCTACAACACGCCCCCGCTGGGCCAGAGGGGCACCTGCAGCTACCTGACGAAGGTCGTGATGAACCTGCTGCTGCAGGGGGAGGTCAGGCCGAGCGGCGACGACCCGTGTCTGGTCAGCTAGCGGGGCAGCGGCCGGGCTCGGCCGGGGCCCGCCCTCCCCGGGGCACGCGTGGTCTGCGTGGGAGCCTCAGGGCCGCAAGGCCGTGCTGGGGCGGCGGTCTCCGGCCTGGGCCAAGGCCGTGGGGCCTGCCGCCTGCGCGGGCCCGTCTCGTGGTGAGGAATGCTTGTGCCTCCGGACGGACGTGCTCGCGGTCACGCCAGCCACAGCCCCGTAGTCTTCGCTGCTCGTGCGTTTGTGACTTGAAAGCTCCCTGCTGCATGTGGTACGATGAAGTAGCCCGTCAGAATAGACCGCCGCCCTGTGGACTGAATTCCTGCTCGCTGCCGTGGACATGGGCGTGCCGAGCGGCCGTGCACCCGGGAGCGAGAGACGCCGGGCGACGGCGGCCCGTCCCGGTGGGGGCGCTGTCCCGCTGGAAGGCGCGCAGATGCGTCGTGAAGGCAGAACCAGCCAGCGGACATTGCGACGCTCAGAAACTGTGTTACTGGTGAAGCTTTAGTTTGCAGCACTGCGGGACTCTTGCCCTGCAAACGCGACTGTGGCTTCGTGTCTGCGGGGGCGGGGCGGGGCGGGGCGGGAGCTCGGCGGTGAACCCGATCAGACGCTCGTGACGCTCGTGTGACACACGCCAGCGGTGCCTGCTCCGACGTCCTCTGTGAGTGCTTGCTAAAAACAGGGCGCGTGTGAGTTGTTCAGGAGTGGGAGTGGTTAACCTAGTTTGTACTAGTGAAAACAAAAATAAACGTCACTGATTTTATTTCTGAACGGATGGCTACGTCTGGACACGTTCTCTGTTCTCACGGTCACTGTGCCGAGTTTGTCGCTCCTGAACGCCGTGGTTCATTCAGCCGATGTGGAGACGGACGAGAAGAGGATCCGCGGTACCCACTGTTACGCGTGTTTTGCTACCACATTTCCTTAAGAACACCTTAATAAAGACAGGAAGTAGAGGAAACAGTTACATTGGACGAACCTGTGTTCTGACTGTTCCAGCGCGGCCCACGGGTTAGAGAGTGCGCTCGCTGGTCTTGCTAGAGAGTCTCACCTGGGAGGTCCGGCTCGCCTCGCAGGGCAGGGCAGCCCCCCGCAGGGTGTCCACAGGGTCCGAGAAATAAAGGACAAGCGGTGTCCGTGACGGTCCAGTCGGTATGGACAACGGGACGCGTGAGCACGCGGGGCAGTCGGAGTCCGGCAGCGCACACCGCAGCTCTGCGGGCGCCGCCATGACTGCGCCGGGGACACCACGCACGTGCCGGGCGGCCGAGCTGCGGAGGGGCAGGGCAGGCCCGCTCCCCCTGGACTGTCTTCACGAGGCGGGCAGACAAAGACGAGCGTTCCCCGACTTGACCCACCGAGGGAGGGATGGAGCTGTGAGACGATAACGACGAATCCAGTTTATAAAACGAAGAGAAGGACAACTACGAAACCCATGGGCAGGGGACTGAGGAGTGATCGACACTTCCTAGCTGGGGAACTGGGAGTAAAGAACAAAAAAACACGTGAATGATTTAATTTTCACTGAAATCTAGAGGAAAGTAAACTGTGTCGTATTTTTAAGGGTTTGTTTAAAAAAGTCTGATTAGCTCTGGCTGGTGTGGCTCAGCGGATTGAGTGCTGGCCAGCGAACCAAAGGGTCGCCGGTTCGATTCCCAGTCAGGACACATGCCTGGGTTGCAGGCCAGGTCTCCAATAGGGGGCGTGTGAGAGGCGACCACCCATGGATGTTTCTCTCCCTCTCTTTCTCCTTCCCTTCTCCTCTCCCTAAAAATAAATAAATAAAATCTCTTTTTAAAAAAGGGAAAAAAAACCCTGATTGGCTGAGCAGCGTTGCCAGACACCTGTTGCTGCCTCGGCTGAGACCAGTCACCACCGCTGCCTCCTCTCCTCTCCTATGCCGTCCCTGCGTCCTCCCGCCCCCTCCTCCGCCCCCTGGTCTCTGTCCCCACGTGCCCAAGCACGCCACGTAATTCCGCCCGACGCCCGCAGCACCGGCCTTCTGAGGCCCAGCCCCCATAAAGCCTCCACGAATCGGGCGTCTCCCCTCTGGACCCCGAGCGGTGCCGACCGTGCAGCGGGAGCTGGAAGGAGGGGCTGGGAAATATTTACTAGGATTGGGGTTTCCCCAGAGGGAGGGGCAACTGTGGGGTTGTCTGGAAAAGGGAAAGAGGCCCAGGCCGTTCCAGTAGTTTCCTGCTACGAAGGACTGTGCGGTGAGTGCCGGGGAAATTCTCCAAACCCACGCGTGCTTCTCTGTCTCCTGGAAAAGGAAGGTGGAAGAAACGGCGAGGTCAGTGCTTGTGAGAACTGCGGATGAAGGACGCCAGCCGTTTGACAGCAAAAAGCCGAGGGCTCCCACCTGGTAAAAATAGCTTTGCAGTCACACGCTGAAGCTGGGAGCTTCTCTGCAAATGAGTAATACGAGTGATTTTTCACCTTCCGCGGAGCGGGGAGGCGGCCGGCCAGAACCGGTGGAGTCAGCAGGAAGAGGTCCCCGTGGGGCTCGGTTCTCCCTGCCGCGTGGAGGGAGGGAGGGAGGGCGGCCGCCCGGTCCTGCTGCGCCCGGTCCTGCTGCTCCCGGTCCTGCTGCTCCCGGCCCAGCACCCCGAGGCCCCGACGGGAGCGGGGCCACCACTGCTGGTTAAAACACCTCCCCGGGGGCTCCCTCCGAGCCCTTCCGGCCTCCACTGTGTGTGTGTGTGTGTGTGTGTGTGTGTTGGGGGTGGGCGAGGACGGCTCTCCTCCCACCCGCGGTGTGTGGTGAACAGCCAGCGATGCCCACCGAGGCATCTGGGGGACATGTCCCGCCCCCAGAGGGCACGGGTGCCTCCCTGGCTGGAGCTGAAACCCAAGGTTGCTCCTGGCAGCCCAGGGCAGAGGCAGGCTCCCCCTGCAGCCGGGCCAGGCCCTGCCCCCGGCCCCGTCCCCTCAGGCACCGTCCCCAGCCGCCATCGCCGGTGTCTTTGGCTCTTCTCTGGACCCGTCTGGCAGCGTTCACGGTGCTCAGGCCCCTCCCAGCTCAGCCTTCCCCCCTCACCCCCACCGCCCCTCCCCACCCACCCGCCTGTCTCCTCCATCCACGGCTCAGCTCCTCACGTCCGCTCACGGTCTGTTTTCCTCGCCCGTCTGTCACTGAAATGACTCTCACTGAGGGCGCTGACAATGTTCACGTCCCCGCGTCCAAGGATGTGTCGGTCGCCCTCGAGCCTCAGCAGTGTTTGAACAAGCACCTCCCCCCCCAGAGGCCCCACCTGCCCTGGTGTCCGGGCCCCACACCCCCCCGCAGCCCTCCCTGGGTATCCTGTACCAGCTCGCCCCTACGCCCGCCGTCAAGGTGTCGGCGTCCCCCTGGCTTGGCCCCCCCCCACTCTGCTGGCTTTCCCTGGGTGGGCTCGCCCACCCACAGGGCCTCAGGGGTCGGTGACCTGCTACTGCCCAGTGACCCCTTCGTCTGTGTCTGCAGTCCAGGTCCCCCTCTCACACTGGGCCCATGTCTGACCACGGACTCGACTGCTCAGTCTGGAGACGCGTCGTCGTCAGTGTACTCGGGAACTGACCTTGGAGCGACCTCTCTCCCAACTCCCAAAACGCGCTTTCCCTCCCGTTCTCCCACATCACAGTGGGGGTTCTTCGTGCCCCCCCACCCCCCCAGTCCACGACCACGCCTCTCCATCCAGGTCCAGCCAGTCCCGAGGCAGCTCCCAGCGCCCTGAGGCTGGCTCCGCCCCCCAGTAGCTGGGCTTCTGTGGGGGGCTCCCGACCAGCCTTGCTGCTTCCTCTCTGCCGCCCTCCACTCCGTTCTCCCGCTGCCGCCTGTGGGGGGTGTATTTTTGTTGTGAAAATCTGAGTGTGGGGGTGGGAGTGGTGAGGGGGGAGCAGGGAGACTTAAAACTCTCTTTCTTTTTTTTTTAAGAAAAGCAGTTAGCCCTGGCTGGCGTAGCTCAGTGGATTGAGCGCGGGCTGCGAACCAAAGTGTCACAGGTTCGATTCCCAGTCAGGGCACATGCCTGGGTTGCAGGCCACGGCCCCCAGCAGCCGCACATTGATGTTTCTCTCTCTCTTTCTCCCTCCCTTCCCTCTCTAAAGTAAACAAATAAATAAATAAATAAAAATCTTTAAAAAAACTTTTAAAAAAGAGAAAAGCAATTGTTCTAAAATAAAATCCCAAACCCTTTTCCCCAGTCCCTCAGCTTCAGCCCCAAAGGCTCTGCCCCTGTTTCCTCAGCCTCCTCCTGGCTGCAGGCCCTCTGCCTGGCTCTCCGCCTCTCCCTCCAGCTCTCCGAGCGCGCACGCACCGGCCTTTGCCCCCGGGGAGCCTTCCCAGCGAGCTCCTCGGGCTGCGGGCTGCCTGCTTCCTCCTTTCGGAGAAGCAGGAGACGGGGTTGCAGCTGCTACGTGACAGCCGACGGAGGGATTAGCTCCTCGCGTCCCCGCCCCGCCTCTCAGGGAAAGGAGCGAGTTCCAAAGGTAGTGGCGGTGAGGGTCGGACGACTCCGAGGACACAGGAGAAGCCATTGAACTGCGCGCTCGACGTGTGTGCGTCGTCGCTTGGTCTGGGGAAGGCACCTCAGCAAGGCCGTCTCTGCGAAAGTAGAAGCTGGCTCTACATGGTGGTGGGGGTGGGGAACTGCAGGGGCAGGGAGCCGTCTCCCGGTCGTCACTGAGTGCCCAGGGCACGCAGGCGGCCCGCACGGGGCCCGTCCTTTACAGCTGGGGGGGCCGGTGGGGAACCGGGGTGGGGGGTAAGGGGCAGGGCTGATCGTTCGAGTGGGTGTGCCTTTCTCGATGTTCTTTTCATTTATTTTTTTCTTAGAGTTGGGAAAGGAAGGTTGGCTTGGACCGGGTCCACCCCATCATTTAGATGCTTTTTAGGGAACATCTGCAGACCTCTGTCACACCGCAAAGGGAGCAGTGGCCCTGACCTTGGGGACCCCGGGCCCACCGGACCCCGGGGCTTTCTGCGTCTCGGTTCTCACACGAGGTCGGTGCGCAGCCCTGCCCCCCAGGTCCTGACCTGCAGTGGCGGAGGGGGCGCAGCCGCACTGTCACTCCCTGGTGTCACTGGCACACACTCCTGACGAGCGCCTCTTGCTGGGGCGCGGCTCCTCACTGGAGGAGTCGGCGAGGGCACGCCCGTCACCTGCAGGAACACGGGGTGGGGGCCCGGAGGGGGTTCAGATGGCGCGTGTGCCCTTCCCCCTGCAAAGCACTGAGGTGTGTCTGGTTCAGCGTCGCCCCGCAGGGAGGCGGACACCGTCCGTGAGCTCGGCCCCACGCGGCTTCCTCTCCTGCTCCTGCTCTTCCCGGGTCGCTGAGTCGGGATGAGACGAAATGCGCTCCAGGAAGACGCCCGCCGTTGGCATCCCAACTAGACAAACGGTCTGGTCTGCGTCCGCCAGGTGTGCGGGAGGCAGCGAGGACGGCATCTGGGCGGGAGACGCGCCGGCAGGCAAGGGGGCGTCGGGAGAGGGTCGATCCCAGAGGCCACTTTTTGTCATGGACGCCACCCCCCGCACGGCAGCACGGCCGGCTCCGAGACCGCTGCCTGCCCGGGACATCAGTGTGAAGCCGTTCCGGCCGCTGCCCCTGGTGGCTGGTCTCTGAGAGATACTGGCGGGGCGGCCGCAGGGCGCGTCCGCGAGGACGAGTGCCCAGGAGTGTTCGCTCTGACGTGACTTCCCCCACGTTGCTCCTGTCCTCTGTCGGGGGGCCAGAGCCCCCGGGGACGCTCTGGTCGGAGCGTGCGCGCGGTCCACTGCGAGGCGTCCCAGG